TGGGGTGTGTCTCTGTTTCTTGAAAATCTGTAACCTTTTCGTATAGTTTATTTTTCGATTGATTGTTCATTCAGTTAGTGTCCCAAACAAGTTTTTTAAATTCTTCTGCACCGATAGCATTCATTTCTACAATATCTATTTTATTGTTATTTTCCAATAAATATGAAAACTGTAATTTTTTAGCACTGTATATAGGTAGCCAATAAAAAACGTGTTTAGGAAATATCTCGAAAGAATATATTAAAACCATACAACAAATACCGATTATAAAAATCAAAATGAAAACGAAATCATATTTCTGTTAAATTTAGAGATGCTGAGCAAATATTAGAGTATTATCGAGGAAACTGGGATGGGTGTTGAATAATCTTATCTATTTTAATATAAGGTCTGAGCACCATCGAGTCTTTCTAGATTCTGATTGAATAAGACGCTAAAAAAAACTTTTACTGTCCGCGCACAGTCGACCCGACATTTTGATCGTCGGGAAAAAAACTTTGTTGTGAAGCACGCTAAAAGAAGTTTACTTTTTTCGCTTCGTTTGGAATGACCGAAAACGAATCCGTAGACGACTGGTCAGAAAACGCTCATGGTTTCATGGTTTTGCGATTCGTAAATTGTTAGCATGGAGCTCGTTGTTCGTTGTCGTCGTTATCTCCGTCTCGTAGTCGCCGTTTCGCTAGTTGTTCGTGACCTCCGGATATCGTTGCGTTGGCGGTGTGCTGCCGTTGTCAAATGTCGAATGTCGTTCGCTGGTAGTTAGCCTTCTAATTCTTCTACTCTAGTGTTTTTAAAGATTCAAATTGAGAATGGTTGAATGTTTTTTTTTTTTTTTGTCAGCTGCGCTTGGTCTATATATATATTTTACCGTAGTAAAAATGTGCCAAACGTAGCTATAAAACTCCGAAATGTTTTAACAATGCCTGTATTGGTCACATAAGGTGAACGAAGCTTTTGCGAATTAATAATATTAAACAGATAGTTCAGGTCTTCTATGAACCAAGAAAATTTTATTGTCTTTTTACAATTTCTATTGAAAAATAAGTGATAATAAGTCATTTTCAAATTCAAAAATGTACTGTTTGATTTTGCACAAGAAAAGGCTAGCAAACTTAATTTAATTTAATATATTTTTCATGATGCATGATAACGATAATGTATGAACGTCGGTTATGAATATGACTTGTTGTACTATTTCAGAATATTTAACTATAATTTTATAATTTATATACTTTGTAAATAAAACAGATGTCGATTAAAAAATTATTTTTTGAAATAAGATTACGGGTTTATTGTAAAAAAATTATCGTTTATATTTTACATGACCCCATCCTTTCCTAACCATTTTTGGGGGAAACAATTTACCGATTCGGGAAGAGACTGACAAGTCGACTTTCTCGCAAACAGTTTTCAAACAGCTGAGTTGTTGTCTTGTCCCTGTGAGAACGTGTCGATTCAATAACACATGTCGCGGTTGTGTCGCCGTCACCAATAGCTTTTGTCGAGAACACGGCCCCAGGGACTAAAACTGTGTGCAGTACGACACACATTGTGTAATACGAAATTTTAAGCGTGTAGTACGTTATCAAATAGTGTGTCGTGGTTCTATTCTCTATATTATGGTATTTGTTTTTAATCTTACATTTTTTTTTATTAAATGATTTTACATATTTTTAAAATTTCAAGATGCATCATGAGCAAAATCTAAAACACCGACTATTTTTAACTGTGTTACTCGTTGCTGTCAACGTGAAAGGGGAGTACGACAATATTCTCAAGTGTGCAATACGAAAAAGTATTTATTTTAGCCTCCGACACGGCCTAATGGTCGTTGGGTCTACAAAATTATGATAATCGAACGAGTTGCGGGCGCGTCACCAGCACACCGATCGCGTCGGTAGTCCGCATAAGACCGCGGCCGTGCGTTTGTATTATAATAATATTCTTCGCACGCCCGTCCAGTGCGTAACACGAGAAAATAAAAAATAAAAACAACAGGCACCCGTTGCGCCATCGACCACACGGAGGACTTTCTAATGCGAGAAAAAAAAAATAACAATAATAATAATAAAAATCCTGACACGCGGACGAGGAAATACGCGCGTGAATATTCAAATGGGACAATGACCAGAAGTCGCGCGCGTGATTTCGATTCTCGTTTTTCTATTTATTTATTTAATTCATTTTTTATAGTATTATACTATTACGTTTCCGCAGCCCGCAGGCGGAACCAAGAGTACAAGCGTGATTTTCTCGCAGTACATATTTTCTAATAATAGCGTTTTTCATCGATTTCTAAACAGTACGTTGTTAAACAGCACGGATTCATTACGTTATTGCTGATTTTGTGACGGGTCGTTACGATAAATTATCGAATAAGATGGTATTATCGACGAAAAAAAAAACAGTATGAACACCGTATTATTATCCATGTTAAATTGGGTGTTTACTACTCATACGTATTCAAGAGAAGAAACGGACAGGAAACGCGGACAGGAAATATATTTTACACGTTTAATGCCTATTACATATTAATGTGTGTGTCTATATATATATATATATATATATATATATACATACATATGTTGTAAGCATATAGCCAAATCAGGATTAAATGCCTAGGCAAATAGTCAAAGAATTACATTTTATGTGATTTTACTGTCCATCTAACCATTTTAAACTATATGTATAGACATTTAACTAAATACCTATTTCAAATCAGGGAAATAATGAAAACGAAATGTTTATTAAAATGTTTTAATTTTAAAAAATTCTTTAAAAAAGAAAATTGTGAAAAAATATATCTAAAGAACTAATTGAAATTTAACAAAAATTTATGATTTAAATTTCTTAACCTAATGATGTATTTTCAATGATTTATTTGTTATCACACTTGTAATTTTATTATATTAATATTAAATGTAAATTGGAACACGCCCGTATTGTATGCTAAAAAAAATAAAATAAAAAATAATTATAATTTAATTTTTATTAATATTTTATACTCGTATTATCGTTTCTATTTTGTAATTAGTTGTATTTTTATGTAATTTAAGTTTTAAAACAATAGTAGCACCGAAGGACATACAATTAAAAATATACCTACCTACATATTTTTCATTTTAATAAATTATACATCATTTTTATGTATAATAGTAATGAATTATTAATAAGAAAATATAATTGAGTTTTTAAAATAATACAAAATGTTTCATTTTTATTATTCACCCGAATATAAATAGGCATATTAGTTGAACGTCTAGACATTTAATTGAATTACTAAATGTCTAGGTGGATAGTAAAATCACATATAATTGGATTTCTTTGATTATTTGCCAAACCACTAAGTAAAATGCCTGATTTTACTATTTGCTTTCGAGATAATTAATATTTAAAAAATAAGTAAATAAACAGTTTATGTATAGAAATAAATAAATAAAAGGATAGCCTGGAGTAATATTGTACTTGTAAAGTACTGCCGGTTACGAATTATAAATTCATTATCAGGTATACAAAATTAATAAAATTGCAACTGTATATGAAAAAATAAAATAAAATAAATAAAATCTGGTGTAAGTACAGTGGAATCAATTTTGTATTGTAAGCTGGTAAACTTAAAACTTAAAGTGAAAAACTTCATAAGCCCAAATAAAGAAATACACTAAGGAAATTTTGTTGTTTTACATAGAGATAATTTATTTTATCATATGCTAAAATCGGTTTACTATTTAGTATTACTATACAATGTAAATGTAAAATATTTTAAGTCTTTTACAGTGTTAAAAAATGTTAATATTTATAACATATGTTTTACTATACTTTAAAATCGACGAAATAACTAACACAAATTGGATGATTTGAAAATAATTTATGTTTGCTAAAAATAAAAATAAAAGATTTAAAAAAAAAAAAAAAACATTTTCCATTACAAGCAATACACAAATGATTTTCTCAAATAAAATGTCATAGTTCCGATTTAGGAGAGGTTATGTGGAATGGGATCCTTTCACGTGCGTCTAGTGGCCTTTTGTCTTAAAGCTCGTATCATATTTTATCATAAAACTAAAAAAAAAAAAAAAAAATCGTCTTCAAGTTTTCAATAACTAATCAAACATACAAGTATCAGTTGTACATCGTATCCACCAATAAATTTCCCGTGTATCGGTGATTGAGAATCGGTAACAGTATTAAATATATTACGTAATTATATTCTTATACTATGAAGATACGTGATAACGTTATACCGAGCTATAATTATTGTAACTTCGAGATACTTCCATTTACCAATCATCTGCGTACTTGTTACAAATCAAAAAAAAAAGGCGTCGAGTGGAGATTTTTGGGAAATGTTTTCATCTTTGAAAAAGTCCTTTTTCACGATTGCCGTCAGCGAGAGGAAGAAATCGAGCGACAACTTAAAACATCAACGTTAATCCCGTCGTTTTGCACTCAATATCAGTGCAGTTGACCCATTAAGTGCTCCGCGTTAACGATAATAGTAACAACGTTCGTCTGCACGCATTACAATTATAATATTAACGTAACCAATTGGTCGACGACGGTCAATGTTGACGTTATACTAAACGCGACGAAGACGCGTTTAATCGTGTACCTAATTAATGTTTTTATTTTATTTCTTTTCCGAAGCACACATTATTTATTTGAATTACAACATACATCACTGTCGACGATGTTATCCTGATGATGGACCGCGATGCGGTTTTTAGATTGGAAACACGACGGCCTTGGCTTTGATCTTCACAAAAACCGTACCATTAGATAGCTCGTAAAATGTTTTACTGCTCGGTACACTACCAAGCGTGTTATATGTCGTACGTAAAAAACAAAAAAAAAAAAAACCCAAAACCCTGACGTACACGCGCGCACACGCGCGCGCACCACTTTTGCTCGCACGCGTTTGTACCAGAAAACCGCGGTCGCCCTGCCCACCCGGCCTCGTCCTGGTGTTCGACTCGAGCGCGTATATAAGATCGGCCGGTTCGCGGGAAACGTCAACACTCGTTCGCCAGTCGCATTCGCGTGCACGACCAAGCCTAACCGTATCCGAGTGCCGGTCCGTTCCAAACTATCGACGCACAACCGTCGTCATTCGTTCCACCCGTCACCGTCCGCAACGCACGACCATGAACGCCAAGGTTTTGGTAGCCCTTTGCTGCGTCGCCGTGTACGGCTGTTCGGCCAAGCCCGCCGGTCCGCCGTCCGCCGACGAGGAGATCAAAGACCTGCCCGCCTACATGAAACGGTTCGAGAAGCTCAACGTGGAACAGGTGCTGAACAACGACCGCGTGTTGGCCAGCCACATCAAATGCTTCCTGGGCGAAGGCCCGTGCGTCCAACAGGCCAGGGACTTGAAGAGTGAGTGAGCGCGTTTATAATACACTCGCGATACCGTCATTTGATAAGTGGTGTTGTACACCCGACGGACGGGTTCGCGCGCGGTGACTTTAACGAGCCGCACAATCGTTTCCGTTCTCCGACGCTCGCACCGGCCGTCGTGCGCGCGCACGCGTTCATTGCGTCACGGCGAAACGCGTCGGACGCGTTCTCGTCGCAGTGTTATCGACGGAAACCCACCGCGACGTGCACGAATAGGAAAACAACCGTTTCGGTACTAATTGGATCGTATTGGATTCCCATCGGTGTTCCGTGATCGTTCCAGAGTTCTTTTTTACGCCACACGTGTAGTGATCGTTTAATACCGTTGTCCGTGCGAATGCGACAAATGCGACCGGTCGCAATATCTGACCGACCTCTTGTAGCGTTATGAATTCGCAGCAATACCGTCCCGCTCGACCGAACAGTTCTTTCGCGACCCGCGTGCGTCGACGACCAAATGTTAAGCGCGAGATCGAAATTCATTTTTTATGTTCAGAGCGCGGATCCCGTTGGGTTTTTCGCGGTGTTCAAACAATTAATATTATCTGCCTGTCGTGGGAAACGATTGTCGAATACAAATCACTACGACCGGCCGTGCACGTTTAAATACGTTTGTTTGGTGTAAAAATGCACGACGTCGTTTGTTTTGCGCATTGTAAAAATACGTGTACAACTTGTACAGGATGTTGTGAACGCGCGAGAGTGCGTTGCTTTTGTGGACACGCGTAGATGGAGGCATATATTTCTTCTTTTTTTTTTTTTTTCTAATGTCTTCTTTTAATTTCCAGGAGTCATCCCGGTCATCGCCAACAACGGGTGTAACGGATGTACCGAGAAGCAAGTGACCACCATCAAGAAGTCGCTAAACTTCTTGAGAACGAAGAAGCCACAGGAATGGTCCAAACTGGTCAAGATCTACGATCCATCCGGCACCAAGTTGAACAAGTTCCTCGACGTTTAACGGGTGCACTCGATCACTTGTTTTTAATATTAATTGTAGTGCAGTGATTGTGAAATCTGAAAATTTCGATCGTGATATTTTTTTACGTTAGTTGTTTCCGTGTTGATAATGAATCCACTGCACACACAACTTATAGAGTATATATATATGTATAATTTTATTATATATATATGAGAATTTTTTTTTTTATATTATTCTTCTGATAGAAAATTGTTTATTTATAAGTTGTACTAATTTATTTACCTTCGAGACTAAACTGTTTTGAAAATAAAAATCACATTTTCATAAAAAAAATATCATTATTTTATTTATGACCGTCTTTTGACGGTTTTCTACTAAATCAATCGTGTAATATCCAATCTTTAGGTCGACGTTTAGTGCGGGATGAATTCACAAAAATGTCACGTTGGGAAAATGTTAACCTTGTGTGTACCTATGTCGTATTATGAATAACGTTCCAACTTCCTAGTTTCTATTTATACACATATGTTTAATACAAAATAACATCGTCATTAATTATTGATGTCATATTGCCTAAGTATATTTCATATGTATATAAATTAAACATTGACGTTGAGTACATTTTTATAGCACACGTTTTATAGTTAATATAAGTATACATGAATACGTGGTAGAAATAATAAAGTTAACTATGCGTTTTCCTACTATGAAACGCATAAGAACGGTACAGAAGTACAGTAGGTCAAAAATAGAATAACATTTTTATGGCCATATATTTGATAAAGAAGTTTTAATAAAATTTCACCCAAAATCTCTTACTATTATTCGTTGTCGGGGAAACGGTTCATTTTATTCGCTTGTGTTTTGTGTAAAACATATCCATCTAATTTGTACGGTATACGGTGTGGATATTTTCGTAGCAGCTCATTAGAGAATACAATTTGGAAAAAAAATCATCGTTGAATGGGTTTGATCTTTCCCTATATATATAAAAGTGACTTGAATACGAAACGTTTGATTCACACCAGTTTTACCCTGGAGAGTACATTTTTTAAGAATTTGTTAATTGTATCACGAGTAACTGTTCGAACTTTATGATGATTCAATGTTTTCTGCTGTCTTTTACGACCGACCGTTTGTTAATAAATGTAATGTAATAAAATGTTAACCCATGATATAGAAATTAGGTGAAAAAATGAGTACAATCTTCGTACATTCTAATTATGATTATTTTTTTTTAATTATTAATATTAAATAGTGTTGTGTCGTTTATATCACAGTTTTAACATCAAAAAAGGATACATTGAATTGTATTAATAATTTTTACATCAATCGATATTCCATACTATTAATATTAAAGCAATTCGATTGTAATTTGATTAAGAGAACTTTTCCCACGCATGTGTTGTTTCCGTCTTACAAATGTGCAACATAGAAAATCTGGCTTAGTTAAAAGTGGAATCGATTTTGTATTGTAAGCTGACAAACTTGAAACTTAAATTGAAAAACTTTATTAGCCTATCAAAGTCCAAGTGAAAAAACATTATTTACACGATGTTATAGGGTTTTCTCCGTTTTCCCATTTGAAACGATTACGTTCGTCCTTGACGCGAACGAGCACCGTTCGGGCTTATACATCGTACAACAAAACACGTAAGTGCGTCACAGGCTCCAACCGGTACCTCGGTGGGTACTGCGATGGATGTTTACGAGTTATCGTTGTTTGCTGAAATAACGTAATAACAATAATATTAGATTATTTTCAATGATGCGCCTGTGTGTACCGAGACTATCGTTTCATTTTCGTCTGCAGATACCGTCGAAACGAACTGTTACCGCCGTATCGCGTGTATCATACGTCATCAGACGCGGCTGAAAGAGAACATATTTGTTTTATAGGTATCGTACGACGGCGACGACGACGACATACTAATTAGGTGCTTTAAACCGATATTATTACTTCAACTGAAGATTTGCGATAACGCAAATATGTATATAATTATAATTGAGTGTGACCACTTATATTTAACGATTGGACGAAAAATAGATATGATCAAATGAAACACTTGTAGATTTCCCGAGACGTTGATAACCATGTTGAATTCGATTTCGAGCAAAGAGTGGTAATAATTCGTCAACGGTGCACGGTGAACGGAGAAATCGCCTTTTAATATGAAAAAATAAAATAATAATCAATAATTTTCCTTCTATATTTTGTAATATGTTTTGAAAGTGGTAATTTAGAAAGTAAAATTGATCCACGATCCGATACACAACAGTTCCTGTTGTTGTTTACTGATACAGTTTTCGCCAATTATTGAAATTATTCATATGTGTATTTATGTACATTGGATATAATAAGTTATCGAGCTTATATCGTCGGGAATGTCGCAGTACGTCAATATTTTATCGATATTTATCTTGTCTATTTACTTATATGATTATTAACAATGGTTATGTTAAATTTCGTGATATCAAACGTCTTGAACCGCATAATACAACAATTATTATAGTTGTATAATTTAAGCCTACGGATTATGTCGCGGGAAGAGCGAAAAAAGAACAATATGATACGCTAAAAACCGCGCAACAAATGTAAACAATGTAGAACATGTGTACGCAGACAACAATCGTTAAACACTCCGTATGAACTAAAATAACTAAAACTAAAACACGCCGTACAACAAATAGTGATTCGTTTAAAATAACATACCGTACGGTATGAGGGTATGAGTGCGATTGCGTAATGAGATCTGCTGTCCATATCGCTTACTATTGGACTAATCTAGTTCAGTGGCGGTCATATTTAGAATGTCTTAGAGTTAATATATCATCCGTGATCCTCAGACGTCTCTATTGTTCCACCGATATACTGCAACTCTCTTTAGCTTAAAGTTAATGTCTTGGATCAGTTTGAAGGCTCGCCAACTATTTGTTCGATATTAATTTTTCTGTTTCCTGTCCCCATGCCATCACTTCATACGATATGCGTAGAATAATATTATGACAAGCTGCTAGATCCCACGATTTAATTTTTTTAAATATTGGCTTTTTAGTATTAGGTATGGTTTTTAAACAGTTATCTACTTGTTATTATTACGAGGATGGTTTATTCAAATTGCCCAAATATTTGGGTAATCTATTGCCGTATTGTGATGTTACAATTACTAATTTCAATATGACAAATATTAATATCATTATACCGATGTGATGTATAAATTATGTTTAATACAAACGTTGAATATTTTATAACAATCAAAATAAGATAATATATTAAAGTTCGGAAAGCCTCATATTTATTATTAAAATACCGTAAAAATACAAAATTCATTGGTCCTTTTAAATTAAATTAAATTTAAGAGCACAAAGTAAATCTATCTTTTAGACTTAGTTGGTATAAAAATACAAATTAAATTTGTATAAAATTCGGTGGCTGTGGAATAATTTAGAAGGAGATATAGTTGTTGCGAACCTAAGTAAAAAGAAATTAAAAATTGATATTTTCTTGAAGCAAAAATACTTATGTTTTTCAGATCAGACTGATACATACAAAATATTTTGTACTTTGGCCTTTGAACCATGTCAAATATAAGTTAGATGTGTATTTTGTAGTTAATATGGTATTTTGAATCTTGCATAGTATGAAATAAAAAATATATAAAGAAATCACAAAATACAAAGTAAAAACTTGAAACATTAATCTTTAAAAACATTTTAATTCAAATTTTAAAGAATCCAAACCGCATTGGAACCTCAATTGAAAAACTGTTTTGACTTAAGTTTCTGCAAAGTTTTTTGTAGTTTTATGATACATCATGCATGTATTGCACATTTAAAAAGAAAACTGTATAATACGAATAACATGATATAATAGTACGAGTATAATTTCAAAAAATCTAGAAGAACAATTGTTACGTCAATTAGTACGTACTAACAGATTATTTTAAAAAATGTATTCTAAATAAACTACAAAAGAGTAATAGCTATAAAAATATAATTTTGATACTAAGTTTTAATTAAAATAAGTCTATTATAATAACTTTAAGATTTTGAGATGAAAAACAAAAACATTCCAATATTTTCATAAATTTAACTTGGCAGCAAGATCTTCATAGGCACCTACAATTGTATTTCATAATTACATTAATTTTATACTATTTTGATAAAATTAAGATTTTTTTTTTTTTTAATTTAAAAGTGTAATATTTCACAATAAAATGAATGTTATATACTTAATTCCGTGTTAACAAAAAAATAAAAAATAAAATTGTTTTTTTCAAGTACCGGAACCGAGATTTTATATTTAAAGAACCGGGACCGAAAACGAAAGTCTCAATAAAATACAAAACACTCGTGTACATTGTATTTCGTGAACGTGAAATACTAATTTGCCAAACACTGCCATATATTACTGATATATTACTTGCAGACGGTAAATAATCGCCAATATCGCTATATGTAATTCTATGTCACGCTCTTTTTTTATAAAATACGTTTCAAAGGGCACATGAATAATAATGTTCACAGTGTGCGGTGTATAATATTGTCGACAACCGGTTTTAATGGACACGAGATTTTTTTTCATCTTAATCTGTTCAACTTTAAGGTCGTTTTCAAGAATACCGCCGCATATCAATACGGTTAGAAAAATGTTAATATCTAATTTCCGCGAGCCAACGATTCGATCGTTTCATAAACGGCAACATGCGTCGGATTCGTGAACGAGATAACATTGGAAACGACAATCGCTCTCGAGCTCATCGAAAAAACATTTCCTAGTTGCTTTGCGTCGTATGCAGAAATCGAAAAATAATAATTTATTGTTGGCAATCGGGTGTGCACTTGAGATAGGTGCAACTAGGGGGGGGGGTGGCTAGGGGGGCTCCCCCCCCCCCCCCCGAACTAGATTTAGCTCTCCGATAAATATTCCAATGTTATACATGGCATATCGCATACAGCATACTTAACTCACAATAGTGTCGTATACAAAAAAAAGACACATTGCAGTGAATCCAACTTGGTCCAGAATCTAAAATATTTTAACATAGTATACAGGGTTTTCTACAGGTTATTTTAAGTTTTGGTAGGAGGGCTGTAGCCCCCAGATTTTATTTGAACGCACCGTAGCTCCGCACGAATAAAATTATTTTGTAAATCCGCAACTCCGCATGCACCGTAATTCCGCACGGTCAAAGAAATTAACGTACAATAGCTCCGCATTCTAAAAATATTTTTAACACCGAAAGTCCGTACAGCATAAAACTATGTTGTTTTGAAAATTACTTTAAAAATGACCAATCCAAGGATTCACGAAATAAAAAAATGATCACTTACTTAGACAAAACATACATAAAAAAACGATGCAACATTTCCACCCAGTATTTGGACCAAAAAAGAAGCAACACTGGAGAACAACAAACAACTGTGAGTCTTTTCATGCCAAATTTGGTAATTTATTTACTTCAGAACATTAAAATATTGCTGTTTTCATTAAAAACTTATTAGCTATGCAGACGGATTCTTACATACGAATGAATTCTGCTAATAATAATGAAAGTAGGATAGTTAGAACTAAACAAAAAACGAATATGGAATTTATAAATAAAAACATAGAATTATATAACGACGGCCAAATTGATAGATATAATTTTGTAAAAAGTTTGGCACCATTCAATAATATTTAGTTTTAATTTACATTACAGTTGTATTACATTTAATTTTATATGGACGACGAAGGTGTTTGTTGTAAATTGTCTTTATTATAATAAATTTTTTATTTTATTAGATTTTAGTTGTTATAACAAATAAAAACATAGAACTATATAACGACGGCCAATTGATAGAATACTGATTGTTTTTTTTTTTTTTTTAAATTATGTACAAAAATGTATACAAAAATGATATGCGGAGTTAGGGTGTTAAAAAAAAAATATGTGCGGAGTTTAGGTGTAAAAAAAAAAAAACTTGTACACGGAGTTTAGATGATATATTATTAAATGGCCACATGTTACGTTGTACCGGATTTTTTACCCTAGTTGCGCCTATAGCACTTGACCGTGTGGTGGTGGTAAAAGGTACGGTTTATGCACGGCAACGTGTATTCGAACGCGGTCGACCCCTAACAGTTCGGATTTTATTTCATCTGGGCAAAAATTATTACGTTCGTAATATAATTTTTATCAAATGAATGTTTAATTTGATTAATTCGTCGGAATGATTTTATTCGAATGATGCATTCGATTGTTTTATTATTCGAATGATTTTTAAAATAATCGAATCGAACCGATTATTTGATTAGATTATTCACATCTTTAGTTGTAACATTTATTTCGCTAACGGACGACTGCAGCGACTGTTACAATCAAGGCAAGTCATGTGTATGTGTGTATTATCTACGCTCGTTTTCATCATTATTCGGATGACTCTCTTACTGCACACCAGTCAAACATTACGCATCGTGTTATTATTGTAAATTTAAATAACAAATACTGATCGAAGTTCGGACTAGCTATAACGCGATCGATTGTCGTATTTGATGCGGTTGGAATACGACTTCGAACCGGAGTCCGTCTCGTACCTACGACATTGTACGTCTTAATCGGGCCGAGTTAATAGGGACGTATCATAGTGTACTTGAACGGTAGAAAACATAAATGTATAAATCATTTTTTTTAACGATGTTCGTTCGATTTTCATCAGGTTCATCATGATGTTTCGTTGTGATACGAATCGTAACAGAAATATAGTTAACCTGTACAAATATTATTGTTGAAAATTATAAACCGAGACGTGTGTGCTTGAAGGTTTGACGGAGTTTTATTTTATAACATATGAACATGTTTTATTAACATTCAATGTAAATAAGAAAAAAAAAACATAAAAATCATATTTACGAACTTCATTATATAAGTAGATAAATTCGCCATTCGACTTATTATTTGTAATTTGTTTCGCTGATAACGTAATTGATATTACAGTTTTATCGCAGAATTTCTGTAGAACGATATTTGTTAATAACAGTAAATCGTAGTCAATAAATCATAATTAGTTCGTCGGAAACGCAAATATTGTAACCAAAGTATTGTGTCCATACTCCGCCATAATATTACAATAATCACTATTGCACTGATATAGAAGTAGTACACTTTTCAATGACTAAACTGCGTAATATACATAGATGTCACTGTATGTATACATACAGGTAGTTCTCAATCGAATTGCACTAGTGTATAAACGCGAATATATAAATTGCGTACATCTGCGATCGATCTGTTTTCATTAGTTCGCAGAATTTAATTTCCACTGCTACAAAACAAGTATACCGTGGAAAAAAAAAAGCATACAAGCAAATAATGCAAATTTCAACATCAACATCGATGATTTATGTTTATTTACTGTGTTTGCACAAAATCTTCCAGGCGCTCCTATGCACGGTTAATTGTGATTTAAAAATTGAAATAATACACTTTATCACAAATAGTTCACCAATTTACATTTTAATTAATCATATAAATTGAAATAAATATCAGTGAAAAATAAAACTGTATTGAACTGTAATTTAAATAATGTAATGGGTCAAGGTGCAATGTGCAATGTGCCAATAACACAGAGACACGTTGATTAGTGATGATTTATTTGATACAAATAAATAAGCCACTGCAGTTGAATAGCATTCGAAATTCTAAGAACTAAATTAATTAAAAAAATAAAATAAAAAACTAGTCCGTAGATTAAAAGCGTTAAAGACTATATTCATAATCATATTTTATTTTCACTAGAAAGAGTCGTACATTCGTAGTTCATTCGTATTATGGTTTATAAATCATTAATACAATAGGTGCGTTTCACCGACACCGCAGAGTTTAAATTTAGAGCGCTTCAGAAACGTACATATGATTTATTGTTGATAAATTTTATTTTCATATAAAACTTAGTCGAGTTATGAATCATAAATATGTATTATATTACAATAAAAACTTTTCATATTGTTATATTAGTATTTTATTATCTAAATTTAGTTGAACTTAATTTAAAAGCTATACATGTACGTATTGAACATGGTGAACCATGTCGTAAAGCAACTTACAAAGTGAGCAGTTCGCTATATTTATATTAAAAAAGTTGTTGAAATTCGGTTGTCTCTCTATAATTACTATTTTATAAACGTTTTTGTAAGATCGGATACAGATTTGTAACAACGCTAGGAGGACGTCACGCCCACCTGCGTAGTTTCCGTCTTACAAACGTATACAACATAACAAATCTGTATTCAGTAGATGTTATGTTGTTGGCTTTAATATTAATTTGAGTGAACTGACTTATTAAAAAAAAATTAAAGAGAAGAATATTATCTGTGGGATGTCATAGGTTTTTACGATATTTTATGTACGTTATGATTATGTAAAATATTACAGCTCAGAAAACCTTATAATTTGCATAAAATATAAAATGAATAAAAATTAATTATTAAGTCAACTTTTGACATAACACAGATATGTTCTACTCTTTAAGTTAAACTATAGGTCAGCTTACTCTAATATTAATTATTAATTGTAATACAAACCCACCGCTTACAGGTGTGATATTATTACTTATGAAGTAAAATCTATTCACAGGTCTTGTAGGTTGGTGGTTAGACCGGATGACGAAAATGGATCTTTTTTTCCAACATATTTTTATACATTCTTGTTATCCCATGCGAACCAAATAATTAACAGTATTGAGCTTGAAGTTATCATATTTATAGGAATATTTAAAATATCCTTGAAATTCAACACATACCTATACAGAATTTTTTTGAAATGGATGAAATCACTAGTTTATGCGTACTCACTTAGACGACCCATTGAAGATTTTTATTCGATTTTCAAAATCTTGCTTTATTCAAATTATTTTTAAAATATTATCCTTAGTATTAAAATAATGGTTCGTTGTATTGTTTTGTAAAATTTTCATAAAACCGAGACGTCACACTGTTTATGCATTTGCCACGCGTTTTTGATGCTCGAGTCACAGATTAAAAAAACGTGGTGTGACGCCTCGATACGTATGAGAATTTTACAAAAAATATAACTATAGTATTTATTCTGATATTTAAGATAATATTCTAAAAATAATTTGAAGAAACCAAGATTTTAAAGATAGAAAAATTCTTCATTGGACCATCACAATGAGTACACATATACTAGTGGCCTCATCCATTTCAAGAACATCCTGTATGATATTAAATAATATTGTTCATGTATTGATTCGTATAGAACAATAGGGGTCTATATGGAATGTTCGCGGAACAAGAAAAATTATTCTTGTTTCGGTCCTCGCACTTCGGACTCGGACATTTCGCCGCGACCGATTCGCCGCCGGAATATTTCTGTGGATTATCAGCAACCGCACAGACGAATTTCGAATTTAGTAGTGCGGCACTTATGTGAGTATATATGACCTTTACCGAATAACATTCGACCAGTCCCCCGTCGTTTTCCCAGCGATGCTCAAAACCTTTTTTCTGCAGGAACCAAAATGTCCAAGGCGAAATGTAGACCTAGACCCTTCAAACTTACCACGCCGATGTACACGACACGCGGTTACGTTGTATCAAACGTCGATGCAGCAACAACCTGTTTGAACACGGTCCACATCACGAGTACCTTTTATGTTCTTCTATTAACTTCGAAATGAAATATTCCACGTCTATCGCGGGCCCGGGATACTTGTATTCGCACCTGTCGTACTTGATTCGCGGCGACCTGTTGCCGGCCATCAGCATGTACGCTTTAGAGGTCAAGGAGTAGTGTTTGATGGTATTCTCGTCCGTCCGGAACATGCCGAACAAGAGCTTCGACAGTTTTCGCGCGATCCTGTACACATTCATCATGCCGATGGCGGGCAGCTCAACTTTCTTTTTGTCGACGAAATAATCTTCGTTGGGATCGGGTGTCGCCACGAAACTCGCGGTATCCATGTACGCCAGCTCCAGGAACATGTCGATCAATTTGTCGAACGACTGCCGGAGGCAAACGATCGCGGTCAGAACGATAATGATAATATAAGAGTGGAGTGCAGCAACTAAGCACGAGCAAGGCTATACTGGCTGGTAGGGAAAAACGCTGCACTAAAGTAACGTATTTATAATATATTATATGCGTAACCAGAGGTGGCTGTACTCCGAGTCGCTAGGAGTGCGCCGTCTGCTAATTTTTTTTTTTTTTTTTAGATTAAAAATATATCTAAATCGGTACGGTCACATCGTCGTCCTGCCATTTAATAGTAACATACGTAATTATAAATCATCTATTTATTGACGTATTTATTAATTACACATAAGCGGCAGTGGTCATCAAAACCGCATATTTACCGTTTATAACCACGCATTTTAAATCGTTCAATACCGCACACATTTTTTCTACTGTTAAAAAGGGAAATTTTAAAGGTCGATAGTTCAAAACCGCACACATTTGATTAACAGTTCTTTCTCCTTGCATACTTTGCATGTACGGTTCACGTTGCCGTTTCATATGATTCCCACTCATAATCGGTTGTTTCATCCTTTGACCTATTTGGAGTGATGTTGCATAGCAAATTGGGGGATATTTTCGTTTTTAACTGTCCGAGCGAGCGTAGCGAGCGAGTGACCCAGCCCGGTCTCGAGGTGCACTCATGTTATTTTAGATAAATGTATACATCATTGATATATATATATATATATATATATATATATATGAATTTGTGCGGTATTGAACGGTTTAATTTGGCGGACATGTAGGATTAAGATATAAAAGTGTACGGTTTTGAACGACGACCTGTTTTTGAAAGCGTGTGGTTGGAAATGACACCCATATGTAGGTGTCCCATTCTAGAATCAGAATCGTTAGAACGGTAGGACATGCTAAATACAATTCCTTAAACAAGGACAGTTGCAAAAGTAAAAAAAAATCAAACATCTCATAAAACGAGCCATAATCGTTGGCGAATGTCACATAACAAGTGTCAGAGGCTCATTTCGTTGATAGTTTTGGTTTCAGCAAGGATAAAAAAAATTAACATTTTCCGAAAACGAGCCGTATGTGCGAAGAGCGTTGGAAATCTATACGGGCAGCGGAGAGTCGATTCGATCAGTTATGAAACGGCGAATAAATTTTAAATTTAATAACATTCGTCGGTTTGACAAGAGTAGTAGACAAGGCCGGATTAAAGGGGGGTCTAGCCGGGGCAGAAGCCCCGGGACCCTCTCGAGAACCCAAGTGAAAAGGGCCCAAACAATTTTTATCCGATACACATTTTTTATCATACTAAAATTAGTAGTAGTACTATTAATTTTATAATTTTATAATGGAATTGACAATTTGTGAAATAATTAAAAAAATATATCGTTCTGCGAGCGTCTTTGTAAAGCACGATTTGTCAAAAGGGCCCATGTAAAATGTTAGCCCCGGGGCCCAATAGGTGCTTAATCCGGCCTTGGTAGTAGACAACAACGAGTCAAGTGCGTTTGAGATATTGGTGCAATCATGAGCCGAACGTGGAACGTCCAACACAATTATAATTGTGATAAGTGTGAACCGTGATTGTGCAGCCGAGAAGAGACCGGCCGATTCGATCGGGTATAGTCGTACGAAACGCGATGCGACCCACCGGGGCGTGGAGATGCGCTTTGTCGAAAGGGTGCGGAGAGATCGTACCTTTGTCAGTTTGTCGCGACCGGGAAACTTCGTGAATTCAACGGGGACGTTGGCGTAGTACAGGCGATAACGTCGGGACTGCAACACCGGTAACATTCTGCCGAGGGGGTCGTTCGTTACGAGCGCGACGTAAGATTCGTCGTCCATCGGCCCGTCCAACTCGGTGTAGTCATCGCTGCTGAGCAAATCGTATATGGCCATTTTCACCAGCTCCGGTTCTTTGGTCGCGACTATGTCGTCCGTCACTATTGCGTTGACGTGCTGCAATCGATCGATGGTTCTCCGTAAGTTGACGAACACTGTTTCTGAAAAGTCGAAAAATTCAAAAACGAAAATGTCGATAAAGATTTCGTAACGCGACGATAATGTCGCGTTGTTCGACAAACGACGCGATCTGCGCGTCCGACACGCGGCGTTAGACGTTGTTGTCGGGACGTCCCGCGGGACGTGTTTACGGGACGCCAGTGGCGTACTTAGGGACGGGGACATCTGGGGTATATGGTGGTCCATAGTGAAAATCCAGGCGAAAACGTTTTAGGTCTTTCGAGTACTAATTTCAATTTTTAAACAATCGCGATCGAAAGCCTATAGGCTAAAAATATTATTATCTAATAACTAATTGCTGGTTCGTACTATCATAATGAATTGCTGATAAAGTGATAACGAATTACGCGCTGAACCAGTGATAATACGGTATTTTTAGAAAGTTATGTGTTCTTATAGAAAATTAGTCCATAGTGAAAACAATTTCCATTTACGGCCGCTGACGGACGCGGAGCTGTTTTCGCGGGAGACGACTTGACGTGCGCGCCGCGGTCGGGGGATGACGATTTCGGTAAGCGCAAAACCTGACGACGTATGGTGTTCTTGGACTCGTATCGGAACGCGCGTCGACGTGGATTTCTACGGAATATAATAGATTTTTTTATTTTTCCGGTTATCAGTACACGGTCATAAATCTACGGCCGTGGATTTATTTATTTCAGTGTCAACTCATAGTAAAGCCCATATGTCAAACAATCAGTATTCAGTTTTAACTAATAAGGGAAATAATAATAATAATAATAATAATTCGAAATGAACAAGATATTCTCTCTTTTTGGTATTCAACCCTAAAGGTCGGTTTTGCAATTGGATATTCGCTTTTCACTATTCTCTGTTATCGGCTAGTCTTTTCAGTTCGGTGTAACTTGTTAGTCCAGCGTCGGAGATCATTTGTTTGACAAATGAAGTTCTCGGACGTCCTCGGTCCATTTTACATTCATTTATCCCTTCTATATTCTATGGGTTAGTTCATTTTCGTGTCTCAATATATGACCCATCATGTTCCATCGTCTTGTTCTGATGGCTTTGAATATCTCTCTTCGTTTCTCTATTTCATTATCCAACTCACTCTCAACATCCTTCTCCAACACTAAATTTCAAATCTTTCGGGTGTTCGTTGTTCTGTCTTATTTAATATCCATGTTTTGCAACCATAGTGCGTACACATAGAATGTAGACTTTTAGTATTTGAATAGTTTATAAATACATTATAGTTATTTAAAATTAGTATATAAATACATTATATTATTACTACTATAGTGTTTATAATCAATCGTATTAGGTATTGTTGTGCGTGCCAATCGATTGACAATATCAAATATAATAATAATAAAATTGTCATAAAGACCACTGTATCAATTACATTTCATTATATAGGTCAAATGAAACACACGAGTTGAGGCGGTAGTTTGTAAAATTATATTTAAGAACGTGAACACCACGTTAGGGGACGCGTTTGTGTGCATACGTATCGGGAGACCCGTGATTTGTATTTTTTTTAAATTTTTAAATTTTTTATTTGAAATCAAAAAGATTTTTGAGCCTCACTGAGAAAACTCATGTGGAGGCCCAGAGTTATCTGAGTATAGATGTATAGTATTCTTAATAAATAATACATATCTGATATATGACATAAGAGATATAAGACATAATGAAATATAAAGATAATTATGTATGCTTGTTTTATTAAAATAATTTCAGCATTTAGTGTAAATTATTGTTTTATATTCGAGTAGCCACAACACCAAGTCTTATTCCTCTGTCCGATCTGTATCCGGTTAATTTATGATCGTTTGAGTTCTCAGACTAGGGTCAGAGTAGAAGTATATCATCGAAATACAGATATACAAAAGTGTGGATAATATGTTATGGATATTAAATTAATTTTAATCTTTTATTGCTTTTTGGTAAATCTAATGACACTGTCGAACTGCGTTTTGAAGGAAGTAATGTTAATCCATTTTCTTCTTTTTTTTTTTTTTTTTTTTGAACCATTTCACTAATTTTATTGTAGAAATTATTAAAAATATCCATTTGTTTTGATTAAATAAAAAAAAAACAAAGCCTTTACAGACCTTTAAGTACCTATTTGTTTTCTTTCGATTGCGTAGAGTTATTAAAATACGGTATAACAATGATGACCACGGTTGTAGATTGAAAACCGAGCTGATACCCGAAAAAATAAAATATTGCTAAAATTGCGGTGCCGTAGTCGACTGACTAACCTTATAACGACTCTAGTTTCGTCACCAAACCTAACCTAACCTAACCACGTAACGCGCGCACGGTATTCTAATACAATAATCGGACGAATCGAACAATCATCCGATCTCACTCACTGGAAATCTCCCTTTTCGCGTACTCGAATACGCATTTTCTGCTCAAACCGGTCACTATGAAACTCGCGCTGGCCCTGGCGTCCGCTTCGTGTTCCACGGCGAGTCTGATCGTTCCAATCATTTCTTTTACCGACGTGTCCGGCGGGAATAGATTGATGATTTTTTTTATCAACACTATTAACACCTTGTCGTCCATGTAATAGTTTTTATCTAATAATTGGAACATTCGCATATAATAATCTCAACACTACATCCGTGCGTGTTACGTGCAATCGATACATTAAAGCGATTCCACAGTTAGTTGAACGCGTGTACGAAACGCGCGCGGTTAAGGAGACGCCGCGCTCGCACGTGTTGTCTCCGTTTCACGCATACGTACAACGACGGCAAATCTACCGTGCAGCAAACCAACATAGAATCGTTAACTTCGTTCAATGCACAGCTCTTATCGAGCACACATGTTTATTAAACGTCCGTGATTCTTTTTATGTTTCACTTATACAACTTTGTCGATTTTAACAAAATTAATACCGTTGAAAAGGGGAAAAAAAAGCGAATCACTAGTATTTCAGGTCTTACCCACTACGGGGGTCTGCGCAGCCCCAAGGTAAGAAAAATCGCATTTTTAATTACCGTTGCACAAAATGTCTAACCAAAATAATACGCTGCCGCGCTCGTTATCTAACCAAAATAACACGTCACTGCGCTCGCCACCACAAGAGAAGCCATACAACAACAAACCGATAACTCCAATTAAAATTGTAAATGTCAATGAAATAATTGAACAAAACGAAATAATAAACACCGACCCGGACGATTTATCATCTTTTTTTTTTTATCACTCGAGAACATACTGTAATCACGCACCTCGTGAAAACCACAATACTTCTGCCTGTTTAAAACCCATCGACCAACCACCAAAATGCGCACTATGCGAAGGACAATACCCAGCAAGTTATCGAGGTTGCATTGTGTATAAAAATCTACAACAAAGACACCAGAAAAATAAAAAAAAAATTAACCAAGATTTCCAATCTGATATTAAATTATTAAGTAACAATAATCCCATACCTGTTAAAGAGGTCTATTGCACCACCCCAAATGATAATATTAATACTAATAATCAGCCTCACACTCAATCATACGCAGATGCCTCTCGTCAATTTAATAATACAAAAATCCATGAACAAACCACCAATTATTTTTCCAAACAGCTCACCTCATTCCTAGATGATTTTAAATTAATTATTAATCCACTTATTTCACTTCTCACAACGGTTATCAACAAACTTTTAATAAAAAATAATGAATAACTCCACCCAATCCCATCCCTCATTAAACATTTTACTCTGGAACGCAAACGGTGCCATCCAACACAAACATGAACTTCATAACTTATTATTCGAAAAAGAAATTGATATATTCCAAACTCGACTCCCATAAAAATCCACTTATAAAAAATATGTCCTCTCACGTTCTACCTGGAAACCCAAAACGACGTTTAAAAAGCAACTGGTCCCGTGACCTATTATAATAAATTGCCAAATTACAAATTACGAGGGTGTTGCCAATTGGCCTCTTCCCCAATAATGTTATTCATGCCATTGTTATTCATAATATTTATCACATTTACTTATTGTTTTTGTTTTTATGTACAGATTGTAAATTTCTTTAAAATAAAAAAATTAAAAAAAAACTTCGTTATCGGAGCAAAGTTGCCTGTTATCAAATTTTAAGTGAAAAACATTATCTATGCGGTGTCGTAGGTTTTCACGGTGTTTTAATTTCAAAGCGAGTTATGGATTTTTTTTCGATTGTAATAATTTACACGATCGCAAGCGTTTGTAACACAGAGACGACACGAGCGAGAGTGACGTATCCTTAAACGCGAAATAACATAAAAGAGAAAATTCGAAGAAATAATGCGTTAATGCGTACCGTTTCCCATGATTTGCTGCAGCAACAGAGTTGAATAGTTTATGTTCTGTGACATACTTAACAAGGCATTTTCCATGTATTTTTGTTTATACTTGAGCGTCATTCCAGATTTTGATTCCACGATGACCGATGATTGTTTTCCCAGGCATTGCGTCACTTCGTTCCATAGTGGTTTTGTTACATTGAAGAACGCTTGACCTTGTTCGCAAGTCTTAAAATTGGCTTGAAGATTTTTCAATCGATTTTGAAACATAGTGTTGACTGAGACTTGTTCGTCATCGAATATTGGACGCTTGTTAGTGTTCTGAAATTTAACGTGATTCATAACATTTTTTTATCAATACTTTTAATTATATTTTAATTTTCCGTTTAATATGTATATATATATATATATATAGGTATATTTTAAGAGTCTTAACACATGAGGCATATTACTTTAACATAGCTACACAGATCCTTTGTAATTTGTATTTTGTCAACCTTGGGCTTTTTATTTATTGTATTTCTTTTTTTTAACCAAAGTTCTCGCTTCAAACTTTCTTCGTGCCTTTTTTTTATTACTTTGGCATGTAGTTTCAATGCATTTTCTTCTTTTATGAAAGGTCGATCGATCTTTATCTGTTCCAGTAGGGCTGCTTTTCTTCGGTCTCTGTTGTTCATGTCCGATACAAGCTTTATATTTTTATATAACTCTTTTGTCTTCACGGTACATGATGCAAAGCAAAATCGATTTGACCTTGCCTCATTTTTAGCAATTTTTATAAATTTATCAATTTTACGGCATTCGGCTAAGTCTGCGATGCGTTTTTCGTAAAATAACTTTTTCTCCGCGTAGCTCTTTTGTCTGGCTTCGAACTGCTGCTGAATCTTTGCTTTATTAATTTGGACTTTGTTTTCTAAGATATCCAGATTTTTCGCGTTAATAAAATCCATGTCAAGCAGTTGATTCAAGGAAAATGTGTCCATTCTATTTTTTTTTTACATATACTAAGCGAAGGTAATTTTTTTTTTTAGTGCATATAACACTATGGAGATTGTTTAAAACTAATTTAGTAATGTTAAAATAATGTTAAAAATTTTATATATATATTTTATATTTAAGACTGAAGGATTTTTAATCTTCTGTTATAATATTTTAATATTGATTATATAATATATTGGTTGCTTGGACATAATGTTTATTAATGTGACCAGGAAATTAATTTTTCTATGCATTTACGAAACTAATAGACTTTGATCTGGTTTTTCGTGAAAATACATGCCTTTATACTGTTACTATTTCAAAACGTACTATTTTCAAAATATAGATTCCCTTCTTCAATAACGAATACCTTTTATTATATAGTCCGTGTTAACAGTGTGTGAATAATCAAAGTGTAAAGCCCAACTTTTCCTCGATGCATTAATTTGTTTTAATATTTATACAGCCAACGTTTAATTATTCTTTAACGATTTCAAAAAAAGTGTAGACAACCTGTAAATTATACAAAACTGAGCTCTGGATATTATAACATTAAAAAATATATGAAAATTTTTATATTAAATAGAATTAGTAAGTCATTGAGATTATTGCATTATTTCAATTTATATAATATCAAATGTTGGTAGATTGTCTGTTAAAGTCGATAATAATAATATCTAGATATATATAATATAGAATAATTATATGAAATATTACTCCGAACATATTGCTATAAATAACCATACTGCATTAGACAATTTTTTTAAAATAGGTATTCTGAAAAAAAAAGTGTACTTACACAAAAATGTTTATCCTTCACGTTCTTACTTCGAATGAAAGTGCATTATTTTAAATATTTTAAGCAAAAATCCATATAAAAATTTAATCTTAAACCAAAAACATCCCGGATAAAAAATATGAATGGCTTATAACTTTAAAAAAATATGATACTCATTGTGAAATTATAAACCTAGAATTTTAATATGCAAAAATAATATAACTTGTATTTTTATTTCGGCATTATTTATTGTATTATTACTATCCCAACTAATCCTGTATTATGAATAAATATTCATAAATTAGTGGAATTCGCTAAAAAAAATTCTAAAAAGTTATGAACGAGTACAATTAATCACAACATCACGAGGTTAGATTTTAAAACAGTGTTTCTAAGCATATAATAGTATTAAAAAAATAGGTGATTGGACCAATAAGATTACATATCAAAAGAATACCCAACGATTTATTTACTGTAGAATACTAAGTTTTAACACGTAAACGCATGAGATGTTTTATAAGATTTCAAACGTCGATTTCTTTTAGGCAACTGAAGTTTCGACTACAAAGATCAGTAGCAAAATCGAATCACTTCGCTCAGAATCGAAATTCGAGTTGCGTGAAATAGAACACGGGGATAAGGCCGAAGAAATATAAATTAAATATAAACGATAAACTCGTTTTTTTGGACCGAAGAAGTTTTCGGGACAGTAGAAGTTCGAGCTAAAGCGACCGTGGCGCGCGCCGCAGATACAAGACTGTTCCGGTCGGCGGTTGATGGCGTTGATCTGCATAGGTTTTTCTTACCGTCATTTGTGCCGTGAACGCGTGTAACGGCGACCGTTTTTGGACGGACGCGAAATCGAAACAGTTTAACGGAACGGTGTAAAAATAATGATGATAATAATAATTAAATTAAAAAGAAATTTATTATTGTATTTACAATAGTAAACGAAATAATTTATTATTTCTTATTGCTTTATTACTATTTAACAACAGTAAATATAATGATATTAACAGTAATAAAAACAAGAACGTTGATAGTATTAATACACGGGTTTTCGTACGCGCTCGCCGTCATTTCACGGGCGAGTGGCGCCGTACAAGGCCGGTGCGATACGAACGAGCCGCGGACGACGAGGCTACGACTGTCGAACCGTATAGGGACGCTCCGGTGCCGCAAGTGAAAACCCTATGGGACGGTCTTCACCCCGGCAGCCGTCCGACTCGGCCGCGACCCGCCCGTCCGATCCGACCGTAGCTTTTGGGGCGCGGAACACGTTGGACAACGTACGCCGCCGGCCCGGGCGACCGCGCATCCTCACGTAACCAGTTCGTTTTCTGAACCGGTGTGACCGGGATTATTTACCCTCGTGAATTTTTACCGGGGGACTAAAATTTCACAAGTGAAATTTTACTAGATGAGTAAAATTTCTCTAGTGAATTTTTATCGGGTGAGTTAAATTTTACGCGGTAAAAATTTTTTATATTTCCTAATATATTATCCCTAATGAAATTTTTTAGCCTCCCAGTAATTATTATCTGGTGAAATGTTACCCCTAGGTAAAATATTTACGGCTAAAATTGCATTAGAGATTACTTACTGGGGAGGCAAAAGGGGCAAAATTTCGCGATGGTATTTTATATTTTTTTCTAATTGTTTTAATAATAATAATAAAAATATGTCCAGCCGTCAAGGTTAAGATAACATAGCAATAACTTTGTGAAATGTATTTTATTTATGACTCAAATATACAAAATATAAAGAATAATAGGTAATTTAAATTAAAAATAAGATTGCTGTTAAAAAAAAAAAAAAATAATAAAAATAATAAAACACGTAAATTGATAAAAATTATATTTAGTTTACAGTAAAAGATAATTGAACCTTATACTTGTTTTTATAAATTAAATACCTAATGCGTGCAATAGTAATTTTTTAACTAATTACAATCTTCATTGCTAAGTCAACTGTATATTTATATAATTATTTTTATGTAAATTTATATTTTCCAAACATACAGCAAATCATTGTTAATATAATAATAAATTCATTATTAAGTTTTTTTATAGTCTTATATATTATCATATTTTTGTTTAAAATATAATATAAGAGAATAATAAAGAAACAAAATACTTACAATGTGTACGATGATTTAAAAAAAAATTTATTTTATTTATAAACATCCAAACATATATAGGTACCGTACTAAACTATTCACGACGAACTGTTCACAATGAAGACAAATTCGGGAATGAAAAAATAATCTGAAATCTGTCTAACCAATCCTAAAATCTGGCTACATAATTTTTTCCCCTATACTCTACGAGATTTACAATATAATTATCATTTGTTTATTTTACATTTACTAATAATATTTCAACGTATATGTCTTGTATGTATCCTACAATAGAAATCCCTGGTAAAAATGTCTAAGGACAAAATATCAAGACAAAAATAATGAATTTGTATTAAAATATTATTACATAAGATCAACCATAACATAATCCTAATGCATTCACAAGAGTGTAGACAAATGTAATAGTCATGTCATGTATGAAAACTAAAATTATGTGATAGAATTTGTAAATATTCTAATCCCTTGTATTACTCCATTAGTGTACCTATTTATAGCATCCTGTAACACCGTCATTTTTTTTTTTTTTTTTATTTCGAATTGTTCTGGCGTTATGTACACGCCGAATAGTATAGCTGTTGGTGTCGATTTTTAACAATTGGATTAGAATATTTATTTTTTTTAAATAATGTTCGTTGACATTCATTAGAACACCGGTAAACGAACGGCGGAAAACCGTACGAAACACGACCGTGCCGCGAGTCAACCGCGGTCTAAAAATCAACGATGAACGATCGGTTGTCGTTTTACGAATTCCTATTTTATTTTTCCTATTATGTTTTTATTAATTTTAGAAACAATACTGTGCGGAACCATGATGTTGTCGTCGTACAAATAACGACGTGCACGTTTTCCCGTCAAAAAACTCTCGTAATGCGCACCCGCACATCCGTATCAGCTTTAAACGTTTGACGTGCGCGCGCGGAGCACGATCTGTAGCCATCCGCACAATCGACGACGGACACTGCCGTCGGACGGGTTTTCGTCCATCCGCAGTGGCGTATTTAGGAATTTCAAGGTAAGGGCAACACATATTTTGCCCCCCCCCCTTCCAGTCAAAAAATAAAATGTTGTTGTTACTAATTAATATTATTTTTTAAAACCTCCATTAATTGCTAGATATACAATATTAATACAAAATTTAAATATTTTTCTTCCTTGATTCAGAACTAACAAAATCATTAATTATTTCTTCAAAATCTAATAAAGTGGTTTTTTCAGCTTCAATTGTTAATACTGCTAAAGCCAAACACCGGTATTGTGCCATTATAGAGCGAAAATAGTTTTTTATTTTTTTTTTAGTGTGGAAAAAGAACGCTCTACACTATAATTTGTGGATGGTGTATACAGAAAAATATGTAAAGCTACTCCAGTATAAAGATAAACACTATTAAAATTATGTTCTCTTGTAAACTGTAACATCTGTACTGTTGTAAACTTCAATATTTTTTATACGGCCTTAAAATTGTACGCACTCATTTAGAAAACATGTTGTTGAATCATTTGCGTAAGTTGTATCATTGTGTAAAGTACGAAATAAAAATTGTCCGCCCCTCTAAATCTTTAAAAATGTGCCGCTCTGGGCAACGGGACCCGTGGCCCCTATCTAAACACGCCCCTGTCCATCCGAACATATGATAGGAACAAGTGTGCCCGCTCGAGAACGATGGACCATCAACGTAACGCGTACGATGAATACGAACGATTGTGATACGATGTACGACATCGGTTTCATTCGTTTCGCGTAAGTCGCCGAAACCACGTCGTTTACATCGCATCCGGAGTCACGACATTATCAACGCATTATTTAACATCATTCCCGTGCGGGTAACGTTAACGTTTCGAACGCGTCGACATTTCGTTGCGCGCAGATAAAACGTGACGAACAACAATCACTATAACGATCTCGTCTCTAGTTCGGTCGATCATCGCGAATCGAACGGACGGCCAGTACGTTTTAACTCTTTGAGGGTCAGTGGTTAGTATGCTAATCACTTTTTTTTTTACCTTTCAAGTGCGGTGGTTACTATATTAACCACCTTTTAAATTATTTTTATTATTTTTTTGACAGTGGTCAGTGTATACCAACCACCTTATTATCAGCTTATACATATATCAAACAATATCACAATATTTTCTTATATCCTTCTTATGGTACTCATATACCTAATTTGTTATTAAAGTTACTAAGTATATTTTGGATTTTATAACATTTTATTCAAAAAAGCCTTTTATTTTGGTGGTGGTCACTATAAAGACCACCTTTTCCTAAGTTTTTCCGGAAAAACTGCTAACTCAAAAAAAATTTAGTCAACAATATTTTAGTTAAATACCAGACTAAAAGCATTTAAAAAAAAAAAAAAATTAAAAAAAATTAATTTTTACATATATTGCCCAAATGGGTATTTTTTCCAAAGAGTTAATTGCGCTACGCGCGCGCTCCCATACACGTTTACGTATCGAACGCGTTTTCGAACACGCCGTTTGCGTTTCAATCGAAACAGTAAACGGTTGTATTGGAATCGGTTTTTATCTCTGCGGGTCGAACGGTCGGTTACCCGTGCGGACGCTGCCCGTTCGGACGAGAACGTTCACCTACGTATCGCGTGTTTCGCAGTGTAAAAGTCGCGTTGCCGCGATTAAAACGCCGTTCTCGCGTCGCGCGCGATAAGTTTCCGAACTGCGCCCACGGATTATCAACACGGTTATTTAACATCGTTACGTCGACACGATGATGTCGAACAGTTTGACGAGGTCCTCGGAAAACGAGTTCGAGAGAACGCGTGTCGGAAGACCACTCTCGTCGACGTTTCGAAAAAATCTCGGTCCTCCGATCGGAGGCGATCGGGACGTTACCGGAACGTGGTTAGTGCGGTCGCGCGATACGGTTTACCGGGGTTCGCGGCAAGGGAATGTATAAACGCGTTAAAAAAAAAAAAAAAACAAAAACAAAAGAAAAATAGCGACATCGGACGAGTGAAAAATTCGAAAATAATATCCAACCGTTGACCGTCGTACGGTTCAACGAGCTAGGTAATGTTATTCGACATGGGGCTTTACGTGTTATTCGAAAAATAACAGTCGACCCGTAACTATCGGCCGTGATGGGTTTTTACTGTTACGAAATATGTAAATCACGTGGACGGGTATGACGCTCGTGCGCGTCTTAATCGACGGTCGTTAAAACACGCGTACGTATTGCTGCGCATAAATTGTTGCGGTTACTCGCGTGCAGTCGGCACGAACGTCCGGCCGAGCGGCTTGAATGGTTACGGTTTTGGAAAGCGTTGACAAGTCAAGGCGATCAATGCCGAAACAATAAAAAAACAACGACGAATAACACTTCGACGAGCCATCATCCCCCAGCGGTCGACAAATGCGAAAAGATGGACAAAACTAAACAGATTACATTTTTGATATTCATAAATGTATAACCATCATTGAAATGCGCTTCTATCGATACCCATTAATTACGTACATTTAAATAAACACGATGGAATTCAATAAAAATTGAAAATATTTTATTTATTCGTCAGAAATTAACTGCAGTTTTTCATAGCATTACAAAAGTTTGTGTTCAGCAATAAATCTTCAAATTTTGGAAGCAGTTTTTTAAATTTGTTTTCAACGTTTCTCAAAGTGCTCATAAGAGGAACCGATGATAGTAATATCCTTTGAAAAATATCAGTGTTAATATTTATTCTTGAAGACTTTTCGCTGTAGGGCTCTGTACTTTTGAGTGATTCTTGAGCTTCCTCACTTAAAATTCCAATTGGCAATGTAAACGATTTTATTGTTGATGAGTCATTTACCTTGTGTATACTTCGTGGCATGCAATACCAACCGTATAAATTTATATCTATATAATTTATCTGTATAGTTTATAAATTTATATATATCTCTGCTGTTTCCCAAGAATACATTTCAAGAATATCAAATATTTTGACTTAAAGATAAACATTGTAAAATAACGTGAAATCGATAAATAAGGTTTTCAATAATTTCAGTCGAAATGTTATAATTTTTAAAGAACTTTAACACATACAAAGTTGTCTCACCTGGTTCGCTTAAACTTGATGAATTGTATAGACGTTGAAATTTTAGTCGTTTTGAACGCTCATTACTATCGTTAAATGTTAGATTAAGGGTTGGGCGACCGCGACCATTAACTCGAGATTCAGTATTATTATCTATTATATTGAAAAAATTATAAACAAGCGTTGAAATGTGTTTGAATAATATTTTTACCCGATCGCATTAACCTGTACGCAGATACCGGGAAATTTATTGTAGAACAAAGCCACTCCCCGCATTCTTTGCGAAATCTATCCCCTTCCTTCTATTGCTGCTGTTCCGTTGATCAAGCATCTATGATAATATACGATTTATCTATCAGTAGAACTTGAATAAAATAGAATAAATATGTTAATATAAATAAATAAAATGGAACATAAATACCCGATAAAAAAATCGAGTGGCGAAACATCTCATAACTTCTTCAGTATTACTTTGTACATCATCGGCTTTATTGATTTTTAAAATTTTTACTACATAATTTAAAGCTGTACTTATTTTATCTTGAACAGTACGTGTAGTACTATTAGCTATAACATAATACCATCCATGAAGATGTGTGCGTGTAAATTTAGGTAGTAAAGCCGTGATCTTACGAATAAATATATTATTTCACAACTAAGAAATATCGTACCAAAAACAAGGTGTACACAGTTGAATTTATCGCTTAATAAAAAAATAGCAAACATGCGCGACTGATTTGTGCGTAGTTCACCAGACTTCACTAAACGATCTGATATAATTACTGATATGAACACGCTCAACATCTACATTCTTAACTACGTTTAGGTTTTTCATTCCGTCTCATCCGATAGTATTGTATGGTCGAAACGAAATACCATATGTACGGGCCGAACATAAGGTGAAACCGTTGAATCGTACTCGTTTATATGTACATCGCATTTCATGTGTACCGACAACTTTTACCCAATAACATTGTTTATCAGCGTAATTATCTTGATCGTATCACACAAATGTTCACGACGAATCATTATAGCTGTGTTGCCAACGGTATTCGGTGTAAAGTCGAGATCATTGTTTCGTCGGAAAAAAAAAAATAATTTCGAACACCGGAGAACAAAACGGGGTACGAACAGGTTGTCATTGGGAGTTTAAAATTTTTTTTTTTGATACATAATATATATATGGATTTTCATCTTCACGGGTACTACTGCGCTGAGATCGCCGCTAGATGCCGTTACGAGGACGGCAATTTTTCCGGATGGGAAAACCCGATTTGTTCGTAGGTACCTAACGTCCAGACGGGCTTCCGAACGATTTGCACCGATTTCCGAGCACCGTCCGGTAAGAAACCGGTCCGGGGTTTCGCGCATCGCTCTGTATGCAGTTACGCGGAACGGCGCGGCGGGTTCTAACGCGTTACGCGCGCGCGCGCGCGCCCCCGAAACCGACCGGCCGGTGGTCGGTGCCGACCACCGATTCGTTTCCCCGCACGACGGCGCGCGGTCGGAACGGATGCGGCCGCGGTTGCCGACGACGGTGTCCGGCCGATCGTCCGTCGGCACGTCCGCAACGGTCCGCGAACGCTGTAACGCCGCGGTCGGCGTTAAACCCGTGCTCCCGGCGTTCGGTTGCGCGCGCGCAGGCGCGGGGACGAACCCGTTTAATCTGGTCCGATAGGCCCCCCCCCTCACGCTCTCGTTTTGTTATGTCACCTTTTATCCGGCGGCCGGTCGGGACGAGCGGCTCTTATCTCTCGGCTCGGCAGTGTTCCGTGCGCGGCTACAACAACACAATTACAACAACCAATAACCGGCACGTACGCGCGCGCGCGCATTCCGCGGCACACCACTCGTTCACGTGCGCTTCCAACGGGACACCGTCGGCCGACGCGAGGCACTAACACAACCCCTCCCGCCGCCCCCAACACGCGAGCCCGTTCGTCCGCGTCCCGCCGGTGCCGGTTATCGTTTCGCGCATCGTCCCGATCTCCTGTCGGTCGGGGGCCCGCGTGTCGGTCGTGCAGTCGCGTCGCGCCCGGTTGAAAACCGATCTCGACCGTCCGCGTGCGATGGTCACGGCCGACGGCGACGACCAGTACCGTTGCGATAGCCGTCGCACCGCCACCACCGCCGCCGGGGCCGCACCGCGTCCGGAACAATGATCGGCCGCTGGTTCGTCGGGTTCGTCGTGTTCGTGGGCTACCTGTGCCTGGGCGCTTTCGTGTTCTACCGGATCGAGCGGAACGAGGAGGAGAGGCGGCACTACATCGAGTCGTTGGAACGGCTCGAGCTGAAAGGTGAGACGCGCGCACCCTACGTCCGGGGGGGGGGGGGGGGGGGGCGCATTCCTCAAGGAATTCCACGTTCGCGGACGACTGGTTTACAAAACCCACTGCGTTTCTCTCCGCTGCGCGTGGCGTTATTATTATTGTTCATCGATAGGCCTAGGAAGTTGTTTTTGCGTTAGAAACTTTTTTTCTATTGTTCGGATCTGTCGACGGGTGACAACATTCGTTCCGCGAGAGTACGAGTTAAAATCTTAAAAATGTTTAGCGCGACCATACGCAATCTTTGGCAATATTTTCGATTTGATAGCAATTTTGTCGATTATCCTCGTTTATAATACGACTTCAGAATGCTTTTAAATATTTGCCCATGGTTTATTTTATTATTTTTCTTCACGTTGGAAATAAAAACAACGGTGGGGGCTATGTCACACATAAATGCATGTCAGAATAATATGATAAAAATAATTAGTTTTAATAGTTTACGTTTGTTTTGCGCTTTGTCGATTACGATGGCAGTGGTGGAATTATTATTTGATAAGACGGTGCACGAGTTGCACGACTTGTTTTCTTTACATCGGAGTAAAAAGTGCAGCCGGCCGTCAATTTTCCTTTTCGATTTACTAGGAAATTTACCTGTGTATTGTCTTGCGAGTGCAGTAGGTACTATCGTGTGCACGGTAAAAACAATATTCCGAAATCGTACGCGATAACTCTCATCGCATCAACGCACTGTGCGCCTGTTGTTCGTGTACGTTAAATGTACATTCGTTAAAAAAATACGGTGTCCGGTCGAAAACATATTGTCAACTTGATGATTTTGCCACCGGTACCTTCCGTACAGCCGAGCACGCGTCGAAATCCAAACGTTTTGTTGGCAGGTACACGACGCGCGTTGTCGCGTTGAATTTCGTTCATCCGTCCGATGCGTGGTTCTTGTTCGCGGACCTCAGAAAAGATTTCGTTGGATCGGAGACGAGCAAACGAAGGTTCCGTGTCTCAGCCGTAATATTCGAACCACGTGTTCGCACGAACAGGTTTTTTCGTATTTAAAAAAAAAAAAAAAAATTAAACATCACATGTTTAATGATCAGCGACCACGATTAAATTGTATTCATACGTTATAAAGAATATAGTTATGCGACTTGGGAGGTGAATTTTTTTCCAACACATTTCCGGGTATAACGGCTGAAACGTAAAACGTGCAGAACGTTTTATCCACTCTCAGCTAGGCCTACCGGGAGGGACTATAAGATTATGCAGCTCCATTACGATTACCGAATAAGGCACGCTTGTCGAAACGTGTGCATACTGTGGGAAGGCGCGCGCGACACTAGTTGATCCACCGATTCACGTTTATCTAAACATTCCTACCGCATATAGGCAATGTAATATGGAAAACGTCATAGATAAGCGCACGGATTACATCATTGCGATCACACCGATTCAAACCGATCCGCAGACAAACCGAATCGCGGAAAAAATAAATGTCGTCAGTCACGTCGAAGCGTTTTTCGAAACGATCGACAACCCAAAAACTCGCGCTCTACAATTTTTGCGGGGTGGCAAAATTGTACCACAAACTGTCAAGTACAATATCGTTTCGCGCAACGACACATCACACGTTGCCACGGCGTAACGTACGTTGCAAGATATTAGTACCGAAAATCGTACGCGATAATGTCTTTGCGATATATTGTGTGTGTACGTTATGTTTTCGCGTTCGGTTGAAAAAAAAAAAAAAAAAAACCATTCACAATGGCGTGTATTAAAATTGTACAAGCCGACTGTGTGGTAAGTTTACGAGTTGAGACTCGTTTGTAGATCTCGAGCAATCTCCGAACGAGTGCGTGTTTAAATATACGCGATGTCGTTTGTCGTATTGTATTTTAATGTACATAAAAATATACCGCAACGATGTGTCAGTGATTAACGTACTTCTTTCGCTAGTCGCAACATAAAAATTATAATAGTACCTGCTAACGCGTAAACTACGAATGTGAATTAGAAATCTGAACATATGTCGTAATAAGCAGGGCTCGGGAGTCAAAGCATTTGCTTATTTTTATGGATTGACTTAAAACGTAGCAGAGTGCTATAGAAGTGTATATCAAGTTATAACACGTACAATTATGAAATTTGAAAGTGCCCTTTTTTGCTTTTTTCAGCATTTTTTCAAAAAAATGCTTATTTCCAATTTTTCTGATTATTTTTGCTGATAGAATTAAAATTAAAAATAATTCTTATCTTATTTACGCTGTTACGCAGTTCATCGTCGTCCAAGGCGTCGTTGCAGGGTTAACAAATATATTCCAACGCTGAAAATAGAACTGAGTGTCAAACGTCAGAATGATCAAGAAAAGAAAGAACAGTTTACATTTTATTTTTCAGAAATTCCATAAAATCTTTAAAGTCTTGAAAGTGAAGATTTATTTTTATTTTGTTTGATTTTTTAGTTAGAATTTTTATAGTTTTTTTTTTTTAATAAATATTTTTGCTTAATTTAAAATTTTTTAAATGCTTATTTTAGTGATTATAATGATGTTTTTAAGCGCTTTTTTAATCGCTTATTTTAATGATTTTAAGTGCTGTAAGTCCTGAACCCTGGTAATAAGATACTGTGATGACTTTTGCTTAACGTTACATATTGATAGTATTATTTTTCAAACGGTTATGGATTCACAATTATTGTATTTACGTGTTTTTGAAATCACCGTGGATAGATGGATTACAGCACAAGTGGTCGGTGTAGTAATCTTGAATGGCTAAACATAAATTGGTATATATGTATTATTTACAGCTCGGAAGTTGTTGCGTTTGCGTGTTTTTTTTGCACCATTGGATTTATTTATATTGCTAAGTGAGCTAGAAATTCATTCCGAGACACACTACGAAAAATATATCAAAAGTTTATAGTGCATATTTTTGCATATTTAGTGATTTTTAGATCTTAGATCGTGTTTTATAATTTTTGAAGCTTCGGCATGAAAATTCGAAAAATAAAAAAATAAATATAGTCATATCGAGAGAACTTTCTTGATATTCTTGTATTGTATTTTTCAAATTTCCATTTGACATTAAAAACAATGTTTCTACTACGAGTAGCATTATTATGTACTATCATACACGAGTGCACACGATCCTACTGATTTTTTGTTGAAACGTTAGTAAAACGTACAATATAAAACGGTATCATGCTCGCGCACATTACACTATTACGGAATACAGTTAATGACACGGTACGCGTTTTCTCGGTACTAAAGGTCGAGCCGGTTCTCCGTTCGAACATTGATACATTTATGTTAAATGCTTGTATATAGTATGCGTGCGCTGTAGCGCGGAAAAGGATTTCTTCGAATGTCTACGATAAACGTCAGGGAATTTTTAGAATTTTGTAAACGCGTAGTCACACGGTTGACTCGTATCGATAGAAATATTAAAAAAAAAAAAAAAGGAATTCGTATTGAATCACATAATAACCGGTATTAAACGAACAGAACTGTCGGGGAACAAACAGTACATAAAAAAAAAAAAAAGCACGTGAAACAGTATAGTATATTTTGGAAAAATCGACAGCATTTCAGTTACGTTTGTTGTGTTTGCGTGCGCTTAAGTCGAGATAATCCCGGAATGAAATACATGATCTTTTCAACTCGCCACGTTTTAATATTTGTTTGTGAAACGTTTTAATAATTTATATTTGAACCGTTATCGTCAGCTGATTTTATTTTTTTCTAATTGTGTGCGGCGTCCACTTTTTGAGAACAAAACGAAAACTCATATATTTTACGAACCAATGATCGTGATGTGCACGACTTTACGTCTACTACCGCCACGTTCAAATGCTCCGTGTAATTTCAATCTGTTGTGTTGACCGGCGATAGGAGTGATCTTTTAGCGATAACAACAATAAAAAAGATAAGCCTCATTAGCACACCGTTTTACAACGATTATGTTTCCCATATTGCCCGATGAACACTTCTCCCTCGCGGAAACGCATCGCAACAACAATTATTACGTCCTAATCACCATGAACTCAATTTTATCCAGTTATCACTTGGGGCGTTCGAATCGCTCCCTTAGGTAACCGCGCCGTCGGTCATGTTTCGCAGCTTTTGTCTCGTCAGCCGTACTTTAGTCGTTTCGTTCGGTACATTTCATTTCGTTTTTATCAAAAACATTCCGTCAATAGTGCTCAGGGGCGTATTTAGGGGGGGGGGGTGATGTGGGTGTTAGAACATCCCCCCCCATCGACCTATTTTATGGTTAGGTTTCACCAAATTGCAAACTTACAGTATAATTTGAATAAACGTTGTATACAACTTGTAGATTTTACATACTGTCTTAATTTAATCATTTATATAAATACATGGTATTTATTGATGTAATACGGGGGCGTGGCAGAGCCCCCTAATTACCATGAGTTGATTACATTTTAAAACACCCCCGTTAAATGAACCCTGGATACGCCACTGATAGTGCTACAGATTACAACAGTCGTGTGCCAATATCTCGTGTTTTGTTCGTATTTTTCGCTTCTGTACCGTCGTCACGGTTCAGTGTTTGTCCATTTAGACATAGGAGTACGTGTTGGCAACCGCGAGTTCTACTTAAAACGTCGTGATACATTTATAGCGCTTTGATTACAAAATGTGTCCTCGTGACGTAACGGGATGTCTGGTAGATATGATTCTGTACATTACACGGAGACGGAAGTATGTTTTACAACCGTTCACGCACGCGCGTCGTGCGATATACTATACGTTGTGCAATGCATGACGTGAAAACGAAGTTTTTTTCTCCTTCTTTTTAAGTATTTTTTGTTTTCACTGTGAGCATTTGGTGTTGCAGCAGAACAAGTCGCGTTCGCCTAATAAAACGGCCGAACGAATATTTGTGAATAATTGTACCACGCGCGTACACTTTGTGTGTACTTTAATGTGTCTTTAATTCTCATTGACCGACGATATCGTACATAATTGTTGTTGTAGAGCATTTAAATGAACGACCGCGTACGTAGAAAATTAATTGTAACGAGTTCAGCGGAAAAATAAACATTAAACAATAATAATTTCCTTCTCGCGTACTATTGCAGTATTGAAGATGCGTTCATGTCGACGGATTACAGAAAAATAAATAAAAATCGAGTACCGTTTCGGGTCCGTTTTCCATAGTGAAAAGCTGCTGCGCGGTGCGTTAAACCAGGATCGAAAAAGTTTTAGTCGAGTAGAAAAACAACGCGATGTCGAAAAAACGCGTTTCACATCGGTTCGCTCGGAGTTCAAAACCGAGTGACAACGTGCATATATAGCGAATAAACGTTTTTCACAACCGAAATGTGTACGTAGTTAGTATAATATCGTTGGGGCTCGAGTGATGGATTCGAACAAGGATTGGTGTTCGTCGCATTTATCATCGACGAATTTCATGTTAGGTTTCGTCGACGTTTAAAATTTTTATATGCGTGTTCGAACACATTATCTTAATTATTTTAGTATACACGCTTTGCCGTCGAGTCGCTACAATATGTCAATGTGGTTTGATTTATTATTATTGTTGGTGCGGTCGATTGTTGATTTCTAAATTAGGGTCAGTGAAACATAAAATGCACAAGAAAAGATTCGCTACCAAAATTCGCCCGTTGCGCGCACGTGTTTGTTCGTTTGACAACTGTTCGTTAGACAAACCACGAAGCTTTCCGACTGAAACCGGTTTTTTTAAATCGGTATGACATTTTTACTTCGACCAATTTCATCACATTCACTAGTAACGTTGTATTACCTAGTGAATTGATGTAATACATTATCTATTATGTCCGTTTCGATCTATCGTGAATGAAAATAAAAAATTCAATGTAAATTCTGTTTGATTTTTTTTTTTCATTTGTAACGAACGAATAAAAATTGTCCTTCGCACAGTTCATCGTAAACGTTCACACGAATGTTCAAGGACTTGAAATGTTGTGACGAGACATAGAAAATGTAAATCGGCTTATCATTATTGCTGGTAAAACAGAATGTTGTAAATCATACCAACGTTAGCGTCAAAATTTATGTATAGGAGTTATATGAATAAAATACGTTTAACTAATAATGCGTAAAAAATAATGCGTACATCAAATCATTCGGTCGGATGCCGAATGGTTTTTTTTTTCTACTCGAAAAGTGCTTATCGCCCCAGTTCGGACGGGACGCAAACCGGAATAGTATTGATTAAATCCCATTGCTACAACTAGAGTTGACGAGTTTAACGTGATTTTTTTTTATCTTTTGTTTTTTTTTTTTTTTTTTAGAACTGCTCGCGAAACACTACACGCAGGCCAACGCACACGTGCACAAACAGTTCGTCCGACAGTTGAACGCGTACTGCAACAGGACGGTTTTGGACGAAGGACCCGAAGAAATAGTGCATCAGTACCAATGGACCTATTACAACGCTTTCTTTTTCGCACTGACGACGCTGAGCACAATCGGTACGTGCACCGCTGCCGTACGTTCATCTGCGTTGGGTCTCGGACGACCGTGCGGGACGCGCGGACAACAATGTTACGAACGTCGGGTTATCGATGTGGCCGTAGGAAACCGAAACCGATACGCTGCGCAGGATAAACATGTCTACACTATCTTTTCACCCCTCCGCGACGTCACTGCGAACGTCGTTCGTGTTAACGTTTTAGGCTTATAGCTAGGACGATATTTTCGATTACACGTTGTCATCGCTTCGTTTTCTATCGATTTTTTTTTTTTTTTTTTTGTTCCCACTTTAACTTCACCCGGGTACACATTTTACACGGTATCGTCCGTCGGGCGGTGATATTTTCGATTTCGCACCAGGGAAATCGAATCATGCGCTTGCGGCGGCGCCTCCAGCAAACGTGTTCGCGAAATTCGTTTTCACCGCGCGAACAGCAACCGAAGCCGTTCGACGCGATAACGGCGACTCGGTGTTTGCACGTCTCGCGACGGACGTGCAATCTACCCGTGCCGCGGATGATACGCTGTAAAAACGATTTATCTCCGTAAGTCCTACGCGCCGCGGCGCACCACCGGCCGGAAGAACTAATACACCGTTTGCCGCGACGAAACGCGTCACGGTTAATGGCGCGTTAACGCCTCCGTGCCCAGGGGGCCGCCGAACTTTTCGAACGAGTGACCCGCACTCGGAATTTTAAGTGTCCGACGGTCGACATCTAGGAGGTTTTCGGTGGCAAACTGTTCGTCGACCGAGACGACAAGGGCTCCGATGACCGTTTACCGTTTCACCGTAATAATAATAATAATAATCCTAATGGCTTACGAAAAAATTAAAAATTAATTTCAGCCCATACTATAGGCGTCATCTGCTCCGTACGATGCGGATCTGATTCGGGTTCCAGATTGTCGAGGGACGTTTTCCAAATAACGTTCATCGCGCGAGGGGAGGGGGGAGGCAGAATAGTTGTGGCCGACGACGGTTTGTGTGTCGACGCGGTCGCTCGTCGGGCACGGGCAGGGCTGCCAACCGTTCCGATTTTAGCGGGACAATCATGATTTTTAGGTTTTTTTTCCCGCGTCTCGATCAATAGTTCACAGCTGTAGGTATAATATTTACATGTTGAAGAGCAAATATATCTCTGTACTCAGGTATATCTTATGTTATAATACGTTATGCCGGAGATGATTGTCTTTATAATATGTTGAAACATGAAAAAAATGTTCTTAGATTGGAAAAAAGTCCCGATTTCCTTAACTGGATAGTTGAAAACCCTGGGTACGGGTTTGGGACGTGGATTACGTTATCGGTCCGGATCATCGCCGCTTCGCCGCGGACAGATACGTGTACTGCTCCGTCTCGGACGCAACGATTGTAATCCGGTGCCCCGCTTGCGACGCTTCCCGGGCGGTGGTTAACTCTCCCGATCTTTAAAAATAGTAAATGCTCCCGGCGGTAAACTTTCCCGGGTCGATATTAAGTTAACCTGAAGAAAATGTGTAAACTCTCCAGAGTTAGTTTTATGCACTACGAATTGGCCACCGTAAAAGTTGACATAAGCCCTTTCCCATAAAACCCGTCCAATCGTGCCCGGCAGAGTTTACGTGTTCCCGTCAGGTAGTGCCGGAGTAGGCCTGGGAGGGTTTACCATGGGGAGGGTGTACGATCGCGCCGCACCCTGCCGTGACGTAATGCCGATCATTTTACTCTAATCGTCGTCGTTGTTGTCGTTACAGGTTACGGAAACCTCCACCCGACGTCGGGCACTGGGCGCATACTGGTGCTGGTGTACTCACTGATCGGCATCCCACTCAACGGTATCGTGCTGACGCAACTCGGAAGCTTTTTCGAGTCCAGGGTGAGTACGTGTGCGCGCACGACATTTTTTTTTTTTTTTTTTGTAATCGTTTTCGAACAACACTCGACGACCTCGCGGTACGGTTTGTATTCGACTACGAGCGGTTTGACGATCCCTCTCGTATTTTCCTTCCCCCAGAGAGCTTTCGTGGCGGTTTCGCCATCTGTTCGCGTCCGATGTCGACAATAAAACACTCCGCGGGCCTTGGACTGAGTTTCGCTTCCGCCCGGATTGCCTTGCGAAACTGGCTGAACTATGCGATTGTCGACAGACCGGAAAACTATAACCAACACGAACCGCATTGAGATTTACGTGTACACTCGCGCGTTTTTCTGAACGGTTAATTTTTTTTGTACCGCGACGGTACTGATTCATCGATAACTCGATCTTACGTGTGCTCGTGTAATACACAACAGTGACTGGAGTGAATGCGTTTAATCTGTTTCGATGGCATGTAGACTCAATGAAGTACTATTTAGACATGTGATTCCCGGAGTGTGTTCCGCAAGATGTACGTGTAGTAGAGTAGTAATTGTAATTCAAACAACAATCATGAACTATCTTTTAAACATTTTTGTTGGTTTTTCAATAAATAATTGAAAAATTGAGGTTAAGTTGGAGTTTCGTGCGTCGGGGTTCCACGAAACATAAACCATTTTCCTAAGGGTTTCGTGGTCGTAAAAGTTCGGCGACCGCTGATTCAGACGCACGCGATCGGTCAAAAGAGTATAATAATCGAGGGTTGCGGGTGGCGGGCGGTTGACCAAAAAGAAACGATCGGATGACCGATCACGATATGAAATCATCGTGTCTTCTCGTGGACATAAAATCGTGTCCGATTTAAATCGTGGAAATAGTACGGCTAAAATAGAACCGCTCGGCATCCGTAAAAATCGTATTTCGCTTCGCACTATCTGATTCTTCTCCTACTTTTTTTTTTCCACCCCGAAGCCCGTCCTTTCGCGTAAACACGATAACGTACGCGTTTCGAACGGACGCCAATCGCACACGACAATGCTATAGCATTGTAATGTCGTGTTGAACGTCATTGTGGTTTCCGGCAAACCCACAAACAGGATATTGCATACATGCGCCGTGAAAACGAATAACAATATGCGATGAACCGCAAAACGTACCGTTCTGCGACCGAGGATATCGATGATCACGTCGAGGGACGAATGTGTTAATAACGGTGTAAACATATCATTTAAACATCATCACGATCAACCGCGCTAACGTTTGTTACAATATTACATAATGCGATGGTATGATTGCACCACGCGTGTTGAGACTAATTTCACGCTCGAGTTGTACCTACGCGTCCACTCCGTTAATAGCTGATCGCATAATATTCTATTGTAATTGCACGTCGTTATGGTACGCGTTAAAAGGCGGTAACACGTGGATTACAATACGATGATACGTTGCGTTATTGTCGATTTTACGCTCGACGATAATGTCGGAAGGCATCGTTTAAACACAATACGGTGTCGAACCGCGCGCAACGGTTGAAAGTCGACCCATTTGAGTTGAGCTCATCGTATATTCTAATGGAACGTAATTTACCGAACGACTACGTCTATGACCACTGAAGATTCGTGTCGGTACTCTGTGTACGCCACAGTTGTAACAAATCGTTGCACGTGTAATAAATTATTTTTTTGGAATACCGGATTAGCCATAAGTTTGTTGCCACGTTATTCATATCGCAACGCATTAAATACCGGTGCCGGGCGATGTTTCTCATATCAAATGATGATAATTGTATTTCCGACACGCGCATGTGTGCAACGAGTGCTCGTTTGATTTCGGTGAGCCGATCACCATGTGTAGGTGCGGCGGATGCAACACCTGATTCAGGTGGACGGTCCCTTGGCGGACTGGCGTGCGCTGCTACTAGGATGTACAAGCCATAGCGATTACTAAGATTTTATTCTCGTGCGATATGCCAATGAAACAGACATTTGCGCCACTGCATGATGTGGACGTACGCGGTGAGCACGAGATTTGAATGCTACATATACTCGATTTCTGGCCTGAACGCTTGAAGGACCGGTCGGCGCACTTAATAATGACAATTTTTCCGGAAATAATCGCAAATACGGTTATGTGTATGTGATACGACGCGTGAAAACGACGTAAAATTACGGCGTTCGGGTCGTAGTATATAATTATCGCCACGTGTAACCACGTAGGTACAATTAATAATTTAATAGTGTCATTATTCAACGCCATTATCCGCGTACGGACAGATATAGGTGTGCCGTGCCACGGGTACCGAGTGTATAATCTCATCACATGCGCTGTCGTGTATCGAATTGTTATTTGAATATTTAAGTTGTGTGGTACACGATTGATTTCAGGATGTGACATAGGGATGGATCGAGGATGAAAAGGTTCAACAAGTGATTATAGTTTTATTTTGTACTTTTTTTTTTTTTTTTGATTTAGAAATTTAGTTATATAATCTGTAAACATATATTTTTACAATAAGCATAAGTGATGTAAAAGTAGTGGTCGGATTGTTGTTTTGATCAAAGTAAATTGGAATGGAAAAACGGAAAATTCTTGACAGTGGACAATTTTTAATAATTTAAAAGGTTTCGGCATTATTTGCACAAAGTTCACTTTTTTTTTAATGCAATCGTTCGCATTCGCTTAGTTTGCCATTTCGGCATGTTTTTCCCGTACCGTTCGTAGTCAGTCTTATTGCTTGTAAGGAAATAAAAAATACAGGTATACAGGACGAAAATCAAACAATTATAATATTTTTACATCATTCCGTATACTATTTTGCGTAAATAATATTATTATCAAATATTAACTGTCATATATATTGTCTGTCATTTCATTGTAGCACGCATGCGATAATATTGTTCGGATATTACATGCTATTGCTGTAAACCGAAACAACAACAATTAGTGTTTAGTGGTTTTTTTTTTAAAGGTTCCGACTATTCATTAGTTCCTCTGAAAATGAGTATGGTGATTGCATAAGACTTTTTCAAACCGACCATTCCTGTCGTCATGGACGATCCAGTTTCATTATTGAAATTGGAGCAAACAATTTGCGATTTTGGCATTTTCGTCGTAAATTTTGTTCGAAACCAAATCGATCGAGACAGTTTAAAGTAGCAAAAGAATGAAGCGAAAGAAGTATTTTGTACACACAATTTCGAAAGAAGTTGAGTTCACGAGAGTTAAAAGAAAAAGAAAAATCCCCGATCCCATTGCTGCCATCAAGAAACAAATGACACGCATTTTCGTAAGAACATCAGTTTGACGAAAATGTAAATCAAATAAATCAATTGAGATGTAGTTATGGACTGAGTACGTTTAATTTGGGATGTGGTTGTGACTGGGTACGAGGATGCGCGTTTGTACGTGATGTAACGGACTTTAAGCGATGCGATTAAGGGGGCGTCGTTCACAACCGCACACTTTTATTTCTTAATCCTACATATTTTCACCAAATTAACCGTTCAATACCGTAAATATATATATATATCAATTACGTATACATTTATCTAAAATAACATGAGTGCACCTCGTGACCGAGCGGCGTCACTCGCTCGGACAGTTAAAAACGAAAATATTCCCCGATTTGCTATGCAACATCACCCCAAGTAGGTCCCAGGATAAAAAAAGATTTTGTATGGGACTCATACGAAACCGGAAAGGTGTACTGCACATGCAACGTGTGCAGAGAGATTTTCCTTTTTAACAATAGAATAAATATGTGCGGTATTGAACGATGTAAAATGTGCGGTTATGAACGGTAAGCGTGCGGTTTTGATAACCGCCGGATCAAGGTACAGTCACGCGAATCATGATGCGATAAGAGTTGATTTGCAAAGCGAAAAAAAAATGAAAGAAAATCGCTATTTAATATGACCTCCGACCATTGATTTCGTTTTGGGAAATGTAGAACGATAATATTTTGAATAAAATATTATTATAATAACGGGTTTTTGCGGTCGCAGCTTTCGCGAAACGGTCGTTGGAACGCAGGTACCGACCGCCGGGAAAGGGACGGTATCTTACTGGCACTGTGAGTTCGTCTCCGATCACGGATAGTCGCGGGACACGTTCGAGTTGCGATCCCGTACGAGGCTTACGGAGAGATATAGCCCGTGAGTGCGACGGGTAATTTTACAGCGGAACTGATTCGTAACAATTCACCACGTTCTTGTCATACCGTACCCGAAATGCATCACAATATTACGTTATACTTGTGGACGTGATGAGGTTATGAGTGTAACACGCGTTTACGCTGAAACTCGTACGCTGCAGCATCGCATTCGAATGCGTTTTATTGCACCGACCGAACTCGGAGAACGCGCTCGGATAACAAATAATGTTATGCGTCGGTGCAACAAGGATTTATTTTCGGGGAATGGGGGGTGGTTATACGTTTGAAAAAAATCTAAATTCGTCAGATGTTTGGTTTGGGAGGACGGATAAGGTTGGGTTAACTACGTATTTCGACGGTTTCAAACACTCAAGTTGCGCTGCTGGTCTTATTGCTTGTACTCGTCCACAACACCGTTTTATCTCATCAGTTTATTACGTAATACATTGTTATTATTATCTGTTTAGATTCTACGAGCTCATTACAGCTACAAAACGCAACGGATGATGGGACCCCAGCTGAGTCTCATCGTGGACATAATAACATACCTGATACCCGGTATAATCGTGTTCATATTGATTCCGTCCGGTATCATATCATACTTCGAACAATGGACATTTGACGAGAGCGTTTATTTTACTTTTGTCACGTTGACCACCATCGGCTACGGAGATTACGTTGCTGGTACCTATACTCCGCATAGTATTATAAAGTCGTATTTTAAATCATACGTGAAACACGCGCTTCTGCCCCCGCACTAACCTCCCGATCGCTCACCCAAAACCACGCAGAGTACAATTTTACTGTACATCTTATAACAATTATATTATATGTTCAAACAAAGCCGGTTAATGAAAATATGCGCACGTGTATCGTCCCTACGAGTTATAGACGTTTTATACTTTTTTATCGATTCGATTACACTATAATATTAAAATTCCGGGAAATATAGTAGTTTTAGTGGTTTTAAAAACTTTTAACATAACACCGTTTGATAATCTTCTCTCATAATAGATTTATTACCTGTCGTTGCACGTACGGAGATGTAGTAGGTATTGAATTTCGATTCTGAAATTGAATTTGAATTATTCAGATAAGTAGATTTAACATTCCAGTTCAGATAAAAACTACTTCGACGATGATTTTTCGGTCGCGACTAAATCTTTTAAATGTCAATCGATTACAACTTACGTTTTTAACTAAAATTGAATACGTCGAGTTGTATATTTTAATTCCATTCGGTGCGTAGCCGAGTTGTGACTCGACAGCTATTGGCTACGTACTAAGGAACACGACCGATGAGATTTTCGCACGATATGATTCACGTGGTTTCGCGTGGGTGTCGGGAACAACAGTCATAGGCTAGGTACCGGATTAGGATGAACAATTAATAAAAATTCGGGTAGGTGACAAAGAGAAGACTATGAGGTAAGAAGCACAATAAGTGAAAGATTATTCGCAAGAATAATACTTGGCCAAATTCTCACCGTGTTGTCAATATCTAGTTAAACATTACGTGTTCCACGAGCTACGATAAAGAATATAAAAGCCGATAGTCCCTTTAGATCAGGGTGATCCAATCTTTTGTGGTTCGCGGACCAATTTACACTTTCTTAAACACACCGGGGGTCGCCAGAAGAAAAAAAATGTTGTCATTTTGTCTATTTATATTTTATTTAATAATTTTATATTATGCGCACATTATTATATATTATTAATGCTCACGATTGTGAATAAAATTCACGCCGTCCACCGCGTCTTATCACGGGAACTCCCGTCTTATTCCTACGTTTTATAGCATAAACGTCATAAACTATAAATATAAAATGTAAAATTTATCTCGATTAGGTTAAAAAATTATTGTGACTAATTTTTAATTAATAAAATAAATAATTAATTTAACTGTGGGGGGGGGGGAAAGGCATCGAGGGCCGCGGGTTGGACCACCCTTACTTAGATGAACCGGCATTAATAATAATAAAAAAAAAACACTCTCCTAAACGGGCATTGACGGGTGTGCGGGATAATGCGCGTTTCGATTGGGATCCGGTCAAACCTAATCCGACAAAACGTGACCGTGTTTCAGGACAGACAGTCAACACAAACATATGGTACAACGCGTACAAGGTTTTCTTGGTGTTCTGGATCATGTTCGGTTTGGGCTATCTGTTCATGATACTCAGTTTCATATCGCGGGCAATGCGGTCGAAAACGCTGGAGCACCTGTTCCTCGAACGGCTCAAGCAAACCCATACAAAGATATGGCATCAGTTCACCAAAGACGTAGTCTACATTAGACGGATATTGAACGAGTCGTACCTGTTAAAGTTTAAGGTTCGTTTCCCCGGGCAAATAATCTTGTCGTACCGGCGGCGGGTGGTTGCCCGCGTGCTTGATAATTGATCGTTCTAACGGTAACCAATACCTGACAAACGTAGGATATACGGATAGGATATTATACTGTGTACACGAAAAATTATGGGAAACGAATTTGTAAAAATATATTCATAGCGTCCATACGATTTTTTACATCGTGCCGCGATCAAAGTCGTAGGTGAAACGGGTGAAACTCGGACATTACGTGTATTCGTTTTGATGGTGAACATCACGTACAGCGTTATGTTTGCAGAATACACGTGACATGATGACTTTCAAAACATCCCTTTTGGTACGCAATTCAATTCCAAACTTTTCGTGTTCCCAAATGTTCGTTTCAAGTGCTTGAACCGGTATTATTTCCTATCGGAAAAATCTACAGTTCGTCGAGTTTTAATCATATTACAATCGTTATTAAAACGATAAAGCGCGATGCGCGTGTAAGGAGAAACCCCTATCCAACGTTCGTATGCCTTCTCCCGAGATTTATTTTTATTTTTTTCTATTCGCTCGTCGCAGAATTATCACTTAATAATTTACAATGTTTGTGTTGGACATAAATGTCCAAGATGTTTAAACACAACTAGAAAATTGCGATCGGGTAATACACATTTTAGTCTTCACCTGTAGGCTTCGAATTCCAAGTTCACAACGAAAACGATATTAGGAAAGAAATAAGAACCAAAACCGTATACAACTGTATAAAATAATATTTTTAATTCAAATATTTCTCTAAACACGTAGGAAAAAATAATGATATTATTCGGGGAACTTATCCAGTGTTCGAATGAATGGTTTTCGAACGAAGAATGTACGAACGAATGTTATAATTTTCTATTTAAACACGATTACGAGTATATGAATACGGTTCATAGTCACGTATATAATGCACCTAATAATTTATTGATAATTATACTTTTATGATCGATCGAACAGTTGATCCTGAACAAATTTACCAAAAAATTTGAAACAACAACGAGAAGAATGAATTAAAAATCTTGTTCCAAGCTATAAAAACAATGCATCTAGTATACTTGTCTATGATATTTAACCCCGATCGTTTCAACGGTCAGTTTAGAAAAATAAAAAGTTGTTGATTCCACGGTGAAAAACGTTCGAACGACCGAAAAGACCGTTCAAACATTTAACTTTTTTCAAACAGATAACATTCCAATACTTTCGGACGCATTCGTTTACGCGCAATATGCGAACATTTAAATTTTCTAGCACACGAAACCCGAGCACGTTTCGTTCGTTCACGTAGTTTTCGAACGAACGTTCGCTGGCCAATCGTTCGGTCTCGCCCCGGACACGACAATATCGTACGCGACTACCCAATAACACGTGCACGTACGAGAACGGTAATAACGAGTGTTTCGCGCGTGTGTCGTTGCAGCCGGTGTACAAAAAAGAAACGTTACTGTGCGGCCAACCGTTGAAGCGGAGCCGGAGCGCGCCCGACCTGACCGAGTGGCCGGTGCTGCGCAAGGCGGTGACGGCGGCGGCGGCGGCGGCGCAGGCGTGCGGCGCGTCCGAGGACGAGGACGAGGAGTCGGTGCGGCAGCGGTTCGAGAAGCACAGGATGAAGCGGCGGCGGGCCCTGTCCCAGAACAAGATGCGCTCGCTGCTCCGGCGGACCAAGGCCACGTCGGAGATCGACCTGGCCCACATCGACAAGGAGGCCACGTTCGGCGCGGACATCGCCTCCTACGAGATCCTGTCCCGCGTTGTCGACGCGCTCGAGACGGCCGTGCCCAACCAACCGCCCACCGTCCATCAACAGCAGCCCGTCCACCACCTGCAGCAAGACGCCGTCAACTCGGTGAGACTAGCGCGCGCGTACAACCCTCTCACCACCATTACGCGCCACCCCGCTGTCATGTTACGAGAACGATGGCACTGTGGATCGCGTTCTAAGAAAATCCTTCCGCAACGGTTCGATTTCCATTATCGTGTGCAATCGTTCGAAATGTTTGTTTCTTTGTAGCGCATAACTGTGCCCGTTGCACGTGCAACGCTGTCGGAATATGTTTCGGATTTGATTATTATAACAATGGGACACGAGTATGCGCTGAAACGGAAAAAAGTCGATTGCGAACGAAGCGAGTTGCTTTTTTTTTTTGACGCACAGTCCCTGTTCTGCCATACATATATTTTACACGACTGTGCTCGGTACGGGACAACGGGGGAAACGAAAACGAAAATGGGGTTTTGCCGTTGGGCGTTTAATGTCCCGAGCCAACGCTCGCACATTTATATCGGTTTTGTCGGATTTCAACTTCTTCGTGCGTTATTGTATTTTCCACGTAGTCTCCTCCATGATAACGCACTGGAAACGAGTGATTCGTCGGTTCCGTCCTGCAACGTTGTTAAATCCTCGCACTCGAACAACACCGATTGGACGAAATATCGTTTTCGTTTTCAGAACAAGAAGAAAACGTTTTCGTTTTCCGAAGGCGTGCAGGGATTCTCGTCCGAATGCATATTGGCCAGCGAGAAGAACGAGTGGACGGTCGGCGGTGATATGCTGAACAGAGAGAACACGTTAGGGGCCAAGCACAGGAATTCGTATTTCGAGTACGACACTTGGGGAGGAGTCGACGATCGGAATTTCAAAAAGTCAGTAAACAGTAATATTATCGTTGATTTATGTTTCTATTTTTTTTTTTTATTTTTTTTTATAAATCCTGTACCAATAAAATATTGAAATTAATAACGATAAGTAAATTTTAATTTTATAAACAAAGCGCAAGCCGCATCAGGCAATGACAGTGAGCCACATGTGTCTCGTGGGCCACGAGTTCGCCACCTCTGGAATATAATCGTTGTTCTAAGATACTCGATCATGCTCGTTGACATTGAAGCGATAATTGTTTCCGTGTAATGTGCGCGAACACGTGTCCATGGGCGAGTGTCGGTAAAATGTTTACAATATTTTTTGCTGATGCTTATTCCCAACGCTGCGTTTCGTTTTCGTCGTAGCAACTAATCATTTCGATCAACATTTTCAACATCTCCAACAAAGCAGTACGAACATTGTTGGATTTGTTTTCCTTTAACTTCTAACCTAACCTGGCTGCTACGCATTCGCACCACCGTACGTTTAAAAGTTATAGTTTTCTTATATTTTTCCAACCGGTTCGAAGAGAGGTTTTTTTTTTATTCATGCGAACTTTGTTGGCCAAACTTCGCGTACCTGATAAAATCGCATTTCGGACACTGCAGCGCACGCGACAACTGCGTACCGCTGTCCCAAAGCATCACAGTGCGGTGCAGTGACATCGAGTAAAACATTATTGAATTACGTTTCGTATGTTTAAATTTTTACCTTCAAAATCTATAAGGCTCGTTAAATATTCGTATATCGATAAATTATTTCGTTTCGCGCGCGTTGTTATTATATTGTTTGCCATCAGCTACGGCGGCGGTTACCTTCGAAATCGAAAGTAACCATTACGCCTCGAACCTAACCCGAGCGGAAAAAATCGTTTCATATTAAAATAATCGTATCGAACGCGTTAATTGCGAATGGAAAACATTAACGCTGCATCGACCGTACACTGCAAACAAAACGCTAAGCAGTCGACGTATTCGCATGTTCCATGTGTTACACGACTGCCCCGGAGGAGTTCATTTGTCGGTATCGATTCGTTCACCTCGACCTGGCCTGTTTTGAATAATAATACCAAATCTGAAAACAGTTTTTTTTTTTATACATCGCCCTGCTAATGCACAAGACAGTCGTAAAACGTAATCGGGTACGTGAACGAAGCTTAGTGTTTTAATGTTTTGGTAGTGCATCGATTCGTGACGAAAAATCCGATTGATACGTTCTTTATTTTCGACTGAAAGGATATTTTTTCGCGTACGTCTACCCCGAGGTACCGTAAGAAAACTTTGAAAGCACGCGAGTCCGGACGAACCGGATGTCCAAGGATTTTGTGTTCAGAGACTCCGAGCGGTCAGGGGAAGGAACCCTGGTGCGTGGTAAACGTTCGCTAGCGGTGGCCAACTCGGGCCCACGTGATACGCTATGAAAGGTCGGGGAAAGGTGGAGAACACCGGTTGTTCCTGAAAACGTTGGGTCGAAGAGGGTCGACCGGTGATGCAACCGAACCGTACACGCGATTTTAGTACATCGCCGTTACGTTTTCCGCAGGTCGATGAGCGATTACGCGAAAAACGGCGGCCACCAGCAGCACCACCAGCAGCAGCAGAAACCGCGCGTGCCGAAGCTGCGTCGCATGTCCGCGGCCGCGTTCAACTTCTTGTCCAACAACATCGCGCCCAAGTGGTTGGCCGAGAAGTTGGCCGACGGCGGCGAGGCGACCGACGACCCCAGGCACCGGTTGTCGCTGAACGACGACCACGGTCACGGTTACGGGTCCACGTACAACGGCGCGTCCGCGTTCAACCACCACTACCAGCAGAGGTACAACAACAACCGCGGCCACCGACACCACGGCCACGCGCAGCAGCACCACCACCGCAGCTCGTACACCGCCAACGGATTCGCAGCGACGGTGTGCGCGCCCGCCGTCCCGGTGCACCAGCAGCAACAGCAACACCACCAGCACCAGCCGCCGGAGCAGCCGCGCGCCCGCCGGCTGTCCAGCCCGGACCCGGTGCTCGCGCACTGCGCCAACACCATCGCGGTGGCCGACTTCCTGATGACGTTGCAACGGTCGCTGGACAAGTCGTACTCGACGGTGCAGCCCTGTTACCCGAACCGCGCGGCCGCGGTGGTCCGCCAGGAGCGCCGGTCGCCGCTGTTCACGCTGTTCCAGGACCGGCGGGCCTCGTCGTCCGCCGAATCGTGGCAGTACTCGTCGCTCGCGTCCACCGTTTCGTCGTCCGTAGCGGCCGCAGCCGCGCCGCCACCGCCGACGACGACGACGATCGCGGACCCGGCGGTAAGTGTCTACGACCGGTTGCCGGTCGGATCCGATCGCTTTATACGCGTTAAGCGACCCTTTGGGACGGGATTCGATTCGCGATCAGCCCCTCGGCTGATTCATCCGACTTTTCCACGTCACGTCAGTGGCAAAAGTTACGAAACGTAAATGTGTACACCGTTCGCTGGCCGGTTCACAAGCAGATTATGACAGATGTGTGACGGAACGGAAATGATAGGGTTTTCGTTGTTTGACGTTTTTAAATTACAAAATTTTTTGGTTGAAAACGCGAAATAAATCACAATCAACGCGTAAAAATCGTGAAATTCCAATAAGAAATCATTCGCTATGTTCTAGGTTTCGTTTAGTGATGATCGGAGCAACGTTTTCGGTCAAAATCGTGTATACACAGGTAAAAAAAAAGAAAACGCCTTATCATTGTTGACCTTATACGTTATTCGTTTAATTCGCATTCGAACGTATGGCAGAACGGTTGTTGGAAAGTCCGTTGGAAAAAAGTAGTGGGTACGATCTGAAATTAGTTAAAGGGTAGGTTAAAAAGGAGTCTTCATAGGAAAGTTTCGCACTCGACCGGCCACGTAAATCCGTAGGACGCGTTTTTGCAAGTAACGTTCAACATTTCCAATGACAATTACCGTGTCCCGTACTGAACATTAAAATGGTCTCTCTTTTAAAACTCTTTTTTGTAAAACCGTGTCGCTTCGGCAAAATCCGTCCCGTAATAATGATACGTATAAAATACTATCGTTCTGTAAAAATTTAAGTATCCTAGTGCTTGATCGTGTTACGGGTTATGATATCTTCCGTACGAAAATATAAGTTCTAAATGGAGTTTTTATCGAAAACAGATTTCTCGCACACCGCCCGTGCCCCTTAACATCTACGACCAAAACGACTCGTGTACCGTTTAGGTTTCCACTCGTGGTCGGCCGTCAGGCGCGCGAGAACGTGCGTGAGTCGCGGTACCGCAAAATTATTTTGCGTCCTATAAAATACCCGAACGCGTTTGGTAATTACATACTAATCGCATTTTCGGTGGCATTCGTTTTTCCAACATCAATACCGTACTCTCGATATGGTATCGTGATGAGAAATAAACTAAACCGTAACTGAAATCAATAAATTAAACATCAAGAATACATTAAAACGCCATTAAATACTTGTTTACGGGTTGTTTCCGTCAAAAAATAATATCGCAGAACTGTTCAAACGCCTTCATCGTGTTCGTGGTTTATAACGTTTCGGTTTCCAGTTTAAAAAAAAAAAAAAAAAAAAATACAGGAATAATAACAAAAATAAATTACTATTGCACCGAAACCGTGTATACAAAAACACGTCATTCTGTCGAATTAGGATTTAAACATTAAGCAGTCCAGCAGTCAATTTTTTAATATGTGTTATGTAAATTTCTTCAGTGCCTTCCCGTACAGACGTAATAACGGTTCGACAACAATTATTAAAATCCTTCTGCACATGTAATGATATTATAATGTACTCGTCCGCCACCGCACACATTCGGCCATCAGTCTCGTGTGGTTTCGATGTCGGTGACTAGAAACGTTTCCGATTTAAAAACGCATGTTTATCGTTTCCTACATTTTTTTTTTAACGTTTCCCGCTTCGTTCAAATGTCTTCTGACGACGTACCCTGAACCCAGATGCACTGAGATACAGCTTTCACTGGTTATCGGACACTCTTGTTGCAACGTGCTGTCTCGTGTGTTCCGTTCGTAAGTCGGCGGTGTACACCAATAGCGTGGGAAAACGTAGCGCGAACAGCGTTGGCCAACTCGTGTGCAGATCTGATCGATAACAGATATCGTTTCGCAAGCGACTGAAGATCGGTTCGATCGTTAAAACGAATGCGTCAGGTGTTTACTGTTATCGTGTTAAAAACCCACTTGCGTGCACTTTGTGTTTTTGGTCCGTGAAAATCTTTCCGGTAAGGCACGTAAACCGGCGCGGTTCACGTCACGTCACGTCACGACGCTGAGCTACGCGTATCGACATTGTTTGCGCATCGGATATGGATCTCACGTCGAACGGATGTACGCGATTTCAGTTCGTTTTAGCGGGATCGTGGTAAACACAGCGGAGGGACACGAATTGTTTATCGTTCAAAGTGCGCGACGGGCGCACGAAAACCGCTCGCGGGTCACGACGGATTAACGATAAATCGATTACGCGTGCAATTACCGTACGGAACAACGCGTTTCGCGCGACCGTAGCGAGTCTCGAAAATTACTCGATAAACTTAAGATTCGGCTTTATTAGTGTTTGCTTGAAATAGCCGTTTTCGCGAACCCAAGACTAACTAACACGTGTGCCGCAGTCGGGCTGATCCGAGAGCTGAACCGTTAAGTAAGAATTCATTATTTCGCACGAAATCCGAGGACGCCATATACACCGCGACGTTTTTACCGAGCACAAGACGTACACGTCCGAAACTCGTTTCACACTCGTTCGGTTAGCACAACGTGTAAAAAGGTTTATATAAATGTTATAATATACATTTTTTTTTTAAAATTTAAAATTTTAACAACATTTTATCATATGCAAATAAATCCGTTAATATGAATTGTTGATTGCTTAACGATCAGTACTTGAATATTTCAATGGTAAGGAAGGGGTATCATCGTACGATGGTGCGAAAGGGGCATGGATTTCAAAAGGTTGATGACCCGTAACTTAGGATATCATAAAAGTATACCTGTGTCGCGACGTGATCCTCACACCGTTCGTGCAACTACGTTGTTGCGATACATTCAGAAGTGAACGACAATCGAATACGAATTTGACGAGCCGAATGCGAACGGTGACACGGTTTCGATGATTACCTACGTCCCATCCGCCTAGTTATTCGTGAATAATCAACGTGTACGCTATTTCATCCCCTTGCTAGGAGGATCGCATCTAAAGGGTATGTTTGGGGCGGCGCCGGGGACGGGTCGGATAGGGCCCTGGCCCTAACCCGACCCCACCACCGGCCTGATCTCAGACACGACCGTTTTACATCGGCAGAACTATTTTAAAACAGTTTTGCCATTGTGTTGTAATCGTTTATAAAAATGGCGATTAGCTCATATGAATTATTGTTGCCGACTGTTTTTGCTGACTCCATCAGTCGGTTATGAACCGTCGGTCCGAACTAAAAACTACCACCGTGTGTGTGTGTGTGCGTGTTGCGCAGGTCCAGGATTTGACGCCGACGGCGGAAGCGTTGACCGGCCGGAGCGATTCGAGTGCGGAGCCGACGTCGAGGAGACCGAGGAAGAAGCGCGTCAGACGGTTCTCGATACGGCCGACGTCGTCGTCGGCCGTGGCGCCCGCGGAAACGCAGCCCGGAGCGGCGAACTTTTGCGGCAGCGGTTGGACCGCCGGTGACAGGGACGACGACAAGGGCCGCGGCAAGAGAGACGACGTCCGTTTGCACATCGAAGACTGAACCACACACACCCGCTCGACCCACACTGACCCGCGCACCGTCGTCGTGCGCGCAAAAAATTTATAATGTGAAAAAAAAAAAATCAAAACCAAACACCGCGTAAAAAAAAAAAAAAAAATAATAATGAAAACAAGAAACGTTTCACTTTTGTTGTACGCCGATTTTTTATTATTATAATCGATACTGTCGTTACCGTTTTCGTAGCCGTTGCAACGATAATCGTTCGCACGTGCACACGTGCCGCCGAATTATAATCGTAAAGCCGAGGTAAAACGATTTTTTGTTTTTTTTTTTTTTTTTTTGATCGAGAATCATTACTGTGACGATGGCGCAACAGCGTTACCGGGCGCGTATCGCGAACCCTTGGCCGTTTTTCCGTCCCGTGGAGTCGCGATCGGAAAAACGTCCAACCCTCGCGATACGCTTCCGCGCACGCGACATTTATTTATCTTGTCTACTCTCATGTACATACATCAACAACCATATCACGACGTTGTACTACCCCCGTTATTGTACGCATTTTTTTTTTTTTTTCATTATAATTTATATTATCATTACCGTTGTTGTCGATCTTATTTCACAACGTTACACGCACCGGTACGGCACAGCGGTCCTCGACCTTTGGTAGATCACGGACCCCCGACGAAAGGTTCGCGGAGAGCTCCTTAACAATTATTTTTCCAAAACACCAATTTTTACAAAACATCCCGTGTTATCGTAACCGAAATCGTGAAAATAATTGCGCGTAACGGGCTGCATAATTAGACGTTTACATAACGTGCACGTTTATAATTATATTTGTTACACATCATGTTTCGGTTGATTTAAATTTAATTATAATTTAATTGTTTTGATTTTCGATTTTATTTTTTCTTTCTTAAAATTCAACGCCATGGTCGTTGTTGCGTTCGAGACTCAAACGTTAGTTTGAACATCGCAATGAACATAAGATACGTCTTAACATATACAAGAGTAATAAGTTATATTGTGTGTGAAAAAAAAATTAACAAATAATCCAACAATATTATGATAATTCACTCACGTCACGTGTTGACATACGGTATGTGTTATGCTGCCGTGGACCCCTAGGGAGCCTCGTAAAGTGTTTTTCGTTGGTCCGATCGTTTTCCGCGCGATCACCAGCGATACGCTTTGAACGCAGTAAGTTGAATATCTTCGGCGATGGGACGGGACCTTAAAAAGTGAAACATATACGCAGAAAGATCAAACTAAATGTCTTGCCCTCCGTCGAGCAAAACACAGTAAAACGGGTTTATGTACTTAGTGAACGAGAAGGGAAGAAAAAGGAAGGCTAAGAAAAAGAGTTTGTGGAAATAAAACTCGTCAGGATCACTGTCACTCTGTACAAAAGACTGAATATCACATATACTTGGTAACTAATTCACCAAACCTATAGGTACAAAAGTGGTTTTCGATGTAGGCGATATCGCGTAAAATAATAAACACGTACAGTTATTATTCGAATTATTATTAATTATAATGATTAGGATTAATGGGATGAATAATTTAATGAGACGATCGATAAATTATGAATTGTATTGAATTAATGAGATCATGAATATTAAAGAAAACAAATATTATTTAATGAAAATCACAATGAAAATGTTATCAAAACATTTCTACGCATATCACCTACGACATTTACGCGTAGGTATCACAAGTTGAAAACTACTGAGCTGGTGGGATGTTATTTTTTCTAACGGGTCAATGAAAAATATTTCCCTTCTCAAAGGGTTCACAGTTTTAAAGATGTCGAGAACAACTGCTGTATAGTTCATATACGTATATTATATTATATGCAAACGGCATAATAACGAAATGATAACATTTGAATTTATCGTTCCTTTACAATTACACGACGTACAAGTTATGGTACAATTCATCGTGAAAATGTCAACTCATCGAAATCGCATTGGTGGTTTCGTAATTACCACAGGAACATACGATTCCGGTGGACATTGACATCTGCGCACACGGATATTATTTGGCTAACTGCTCGTTCGCAATCTGGACCGGTACAGCCAAACCATTCAACATCAATAAGATCCAATCGAAAACCACGACGAAATCTAGAATTCACACTCGACCGTTTAACCGTACGCTTGCCGGAGAATTGAGGTGCAAGTTTTTTGTGCAATTTTTCGGTAAAATGCGTTTTCCTACTCCATTTCCACTCGTAAGCACGTTCTCTTCGGCTTCCATCGTGTTGCTGCGTTTACCTGCACTTATTATAGTGTTCAATAGTGTTTACGAGTCTGTTGAACTCTGAAGTTTAACAAAACAAACTTATCAAACATAACATTATGATAATAAACGTGCGATAGACATTTCCATTTTTCGTTCCAAAAAAAAAAAAAAAAATGAAATGTAATGAAATGACAAAAATTGTTCGACGAAGAGTTTAGTGCACGATGGTAAATCTAACACGCGACGGCGCACGTCGCGATAACTCATCGTACACTGTACTTTTATGCTTCCAGGGACGTGCCCAGGATAAAAATACAAGACAGGCCCAATAATAATTATTTTAATCTGTGCAGGTACACATAATTTCATTTTTATAGACTTTTCGTAACATTTTTAAATTTAGTTGGAAAAAATGATCATTTATGATATGTTAACACCATTTCACCTGTCTGACTTATTAATAATATTTAAAGATATTAAAAATAAAACAACAATGATTTACATAATATTAATAATAACCATTTGAAAACTGAGCACGCCGCTGTAACGTTTGTGTCACCTCTCCGATATTCGTTTAAATCTAAGACGTCACCTGGCCGCAATCGTATTGTCCTGGACATTTGTCATCTTCCAACACACAACAGGAATACGTCGATTTCTTCGTCGCGTCTTTCGCATTTGATAACGCGTCGCAGGCAGGATGCTTAAAACGGTATACAATTTATAATTTACATTTAATATGATGTGTATTTTGTGTTTGGTCGTTTTTATCAAACAGTTGAACGTTTCAGTGAACTTTTCGGAGAAATATTAAAGGGGACGCCTTATAAACACCGTCCACTTGAGCCCCCTCATTTTAAGCGCCCCGGTCGCAGGACTATTCTTCCAACGCCCTCCGGGTTCGACGGTCAACGAAATACTAAAAAGTGCTTATTTGCAAACCGCGTGCAGTCGGTCGTCCGTACAAAACCATCCGATTGCAGTCGATTACGGAAACGAAATACCATTAGGCGTCTCAACTGTTTCACGATCACCGCAGTGTTGCCGACGCGTTTTCCGTAGCAAATCCTGCTGAGAGCACACAGCGTACACTTACAAGATTAACTAACTCACAAAATCAGCAAAAATCGTATAGACATTTTATGAAATAATAAAACTAATGCGATTTTTTTGGCAGACAATCTTTGCCGATGTCCCACGACACCTCGCAATCAATTTACGTTTCATTATTATTGTTGTTCATCTCCGTCGTTCGAAAAACTGTGACGACGCAAATACAAACGGGCACAATCATGTATACGCACGTACCGTACGTAGTACAGTTATCTCGTACGGCGACGACGAAATTCGATTCGTTTTGTATGCCTACTTCAAAAGCGAAAATAGTTCTCGTTATCAACAAAGGAAACAAGAAAAAAAAAACAGTTGAAAAATAGGCGATAACGATTTATTATGTACACATGTGCGAAGTGAAATAAAAAATAAAATAATATAACAAGGTTTTCTTTCACAAGTCTTATTTAAATATTCTGTACGCACAAAAAAAAAAAAAAAAATGAAATAAAATAAAATAAAATAAAAACAGAAAATAATCATAATAATATAATAATAATAAAATCGAAAATTCCACACGTTTTATCGAGAGAGAAAAAAAATAAAAATATCATATTAGCGCGAAACGAAAGTAATAAAGTACTAACGTAATAATATTATAACTATTATTATTATTATTATTATTATTGTTGTAGCGTGGAAATATTACGCTGCACATCAATAATACCACGACGTAAAATGAAAAACGAATACAATTAATACAATCGCGACGATTTACAATAGCGTGTTATTATTGTTGATGCATTATGGTTTGACGACCGGGAGCAGTGTAGTAAGTTCGGTCGCTAAGTTGGAAAAGTAGTCGGTTACGCAAGGGTACTTCCAGTGGTGCCAGGAGAGGAGGTGATTTTGGAAAATGCGTCTAGCGAAGATAGACCATTCGAAGACGAGATTCTTATCCACTCGCCAACAACCCTTCTACCCCACGATGATAATAATATTAATAATAATAATAATAATTATAATTATAATAATAATAATAATAATAATAATAATAATAATAATAATAACAATTATAATAGTAAAACAACGAAATAAAAACTGCACAACACAATTAATGATTTTTAAATATATAAATAAATATACGTCATATACTGTAATAATATATTGAATTAAAAATACGTATAAATAAATATATATATATATATATATATATATGTACATAAACACACACACAAGCATTTATATATATATTTGAGAATCGTATAAATCGTGTAGTAGTTCCATCGGATTTTCACGCAAATAACGCACACAAATTATAACGTTACAATAATATATACCTACGTAAATGAATAAATAATATTATTTAATCGTCTAGATCATTGGTTTAATACTGATGGCATATTCTCTAGTGCACAAAATTTGATTCCCGGGGGAAGAAAAAAACTCGTTAAAATCGAAACGTGTAATAATATTATATAACATGCATTATGTTACGCATCGTTTAATTTATAGGCGTAATGTATAAAATATATATATGTGTTACATGATTACATTGTTTTTAGCGTTATTTTAATTTAATTTAATTTTGCTTTTTTTCCCTTCTTTCTTTTTTTTTTTTTACTTATATATATCACAATAATGGAAATGGATCGCGGGACTGACGGACGATGCTACAATGACGGGGAAAAGGGGTGACACGTGGGTTGGCATAGGCGTTGATGTTCAGATGACTTCGGACGGGGCCGTGACTTCGATGAGCGTGACCGGAAACGTGGTCATCTCGGTGAAAATGTCCAACAGGTTGTTGATACCGATCAGGTAACCGTCCTCGTGGTTGCCGACCACCCACTCGGACGTGTGATTAATCTTGGTTTCCTGCGGAAGTATCAGCGTCTTGGCAAAATCGATCAACCATATGTTGGCGTTCTTGCTGTCGTGCACGAACAGCAGCGAACTACCAATCACCTGTGGACAAACAACGGCACGTATACATGAATGCTAGCTGAATAACCAGGCTTCGCCCCGTGAAAATAAATGTTTATTTTTACGTTTGATGAGGTTACTAAGAATAAATTAAAATATATTCATATATAATCGTCTTTTTCCTTTCCGTTTTAACTCAGACTCAGGGCTGGCAGCCAACTGCTTCAATCGCTTACTTTTTAGCGTTTAAGATTTTTATTTATCGCTGCGCAACGGTGATCTAATCGATAGTTTTAACATAAATCCCAAGCGAATATATTTTTTTGCCACTCTGCACCGTGGGACATTGAAAAATAAATAATTACTCAACTAACCTATAGAATTGAAATGATCGCATGAATTGATCGACCGGTAAGTTTATATACTTATGTTGAGCATGTGACAGACAGATACAGAAAATCATGGATTGCAATTCCCCTGATACGTGTAAAAAATAAAAGGTAGTTTCGAAACTAATTTTTCTCTTATCGCAATCATCGAACGATCCCCTTTGACCATGATGATTTCACTGACGCAACGTACGTCTTAAAAAGTCGAAAGAAAACCATTGGACATTAACAAACAAATCAAAAGCTATATTACTAAATAACATGCACATAAATACAGCTTTTTATTGTCGTTATCAATGTTTGTTCAGTAAATTGATTGCAGACACCGCCCAAGAGCATATAATTGATTTAAATAATAACACCAATACATCCCGGATTATACTGTCATTAAAATTAGGCTAACACCGATATCCAGCTTCGTGTACGTAAAAGAGCGACTAATGGCCAAGGAGAAATGGATCGAGAAATAATAACGTAATAAGCAATAACTATACCTATTATTTATTTTTCACTGAACACTATTGTTAATTCACATTATTTCGGAAAGTCAACTTTTTCAATAATATTATGATCTAAACTCAACTTAGACGTTGGATATAATACACGAGTTAATAATTACTCTCGTGCCTGCTGATGGATAAATCATTTATACCGATGGTGCGTTAAAAATGTTAAAATTAAATGGCGACCGGGCTTACTGAAATCCGAAAACCAGTTTTGGTGTGCTCTGAATATTAGAAAACGATATGTTGTTAGGAACGATCGACCACTTTTGCTCCCCGAAATGTCTGGGATATACGAACGAATCCGTTGAAAAATAACTCGTTTTCCTGGCGATAACAACACGCGCCGGAAAGATATGCGCACGATCGATGCACGATTACACTGTCATACCTGTTGTTTCGAAAACTTGTCCGCGAGTTCGAGTAGTTTTTTCGGTATTTTCGACGAACAACAATGATTATTTTCTTCTGGCACGCGTACATTACGTCAAACATGACGTCGTCGCTTCTTTTAAATACGTCTCTTCGCGACCAATTGGAAGTAAGTGTTTATCGCGGTCCGATAAAACACCACATCGGTTACGTCGTCGACTCGGGCACGCACGACGCTCCGGCTAGTTTCGATAAGAAATCTCTGCTGCGCAAAACGGTTAATCATAACAACTTCACTTGAAAACTTCACATTGCGTTGTGGTTTTCGTTATTTTCGTGACACACGGAACAACGTTACGGGAACGGCGATCCGTCTTGTCCCCTTAACGTCTGTACGGTACGCAACTAATCGTACGCGGCAACATTCTTTTTCGTTCACGTGGACACGGTCTTATCTCGTTTGCTGACATTGTTGATGTATAGTTATTTTTCGTCACATTCGCCTCCCCCGCCCCCGGGGGGTCGAGTGACGGTTACGTGTTCGACTGCCGCGAAACGATCGACACCACAACAAATGGATCATCGGAATCGTTCGTTCACGGCGCGAAAGCAATGTCGTACTAATGCTATTAGCGCAAGGTCTTTGAACCAGTGACGTGCGGTCGTAACCGCGAACACATTGCAGTCGTTCGAAGACGGGATCTTATTATTTTGCTACGGAATCCCCGGAGCGTATTTTATCGCGATCGATATTGTGCAGGGCTGCGGTGACAACGACGAGAACCCGCGGGCAAACGAATGCTTACAACGGTTTCACGGCGAAATAGTACGGCGGTAGTACATCGGCACCCGAAAATCCCTTAACAGAATGATGCCCATCATATTAAATTAATTGCATTAAATTGTCGTAACAAATCACAATACTAGGTTATAACTGTAAAATATTATCTTCGTTAATAGTTTTCTCGTGTCCCGGAACGAGGATTTTGTTGAGCTCCGTTGGATTACATTTCAAAAAAGAAATGCAAAACATTATCAATGCGCGTCAGGCGTAACAATCAAGCAACGTTCGCCCATTCAGAAAAATAATTCAAGACTTTTCACGAGAAAACCTATGAAAATACATTTTGTTTTTCACACATAAACACTTTCATAATAACGCTTTCGGAAGCGCATGGTTGTACTTTCAATAATAGTTTTCAAACGAGTGGTTAAGGACTTAAGAATTAACATTTATTCGGGATATTTTGTCGATGGTACTTTTACCGGGAAACGTTCACTTTTCACCGTTTACAATGTAACTGGCGGGACTTAATTCTTATCGCTGTAAAACGACGGTACACTTTATATGCACTTCGTACGTCGTAATGCGTCAATTTAATAATTTGAGTGTTTCGTACGGTTGCTCGTAATAATGTAATAGCACAACGATATTGATATTTTTATTTTTTCACTCACCGCGGCACACCAATCAACTACATAGCATGTGTATACGTGTACTTTCACCTAAACGCACGGTAATCGTTTAAGTTAAGGCTATTTGTATTGAACGGTGAACACGACGGAGCGCATAATACAACACAACATTATCACAACGTCTATTTCTGTGTACATAAAAAGTAGTGGTAAAAAAACGAATTATAGGAAAAGGTCGTGTTGAATTTTTAATCGCATTATTAATTAATAATAATAATGCTTTCGATTCGTGGAGTCTATAATACAGTATTGTGGACGACAAACGTTACTATTACGATAAAGCGTTGTGAAACGCTAACGTTTTTTCGTTTTTTTTTTTTTTAATCATAAAAACAAAAAGCATTACGATTTTGTTTTTCTCTTTGTAAACCGTTGCCGCGGCCGTTGTCCTATAATCTCGACCGTGGACATTTCGTCAGCATAAAATAACAAATATTTCATTTGTTTTATTTACACACAGCCTACGTGATAGTATTGGTATTATTACAGTTTATTGACTGCTGTATACTACTATCTCGGGGGAAAAAATGCATTAAAGCTAATGTGTCAGCCTACATTAGTGCAGCGTGTGTAAACATGTTTTACGATCTCTTTGCGAGAGATGCGATGTTCGACTCGTCGGGACGTTTGATTTTCAGTAGCAGCATTCTACGCGATTGTTCACGAGTTATCGCGAGTACACTGTTTTTTTTTTTTTTTTCTTTAAAAATATTTATGCATACGTGATTTACATAATATCTATATTCATAAATGTCGCTCAATGTCAGAACGAATACTGTGGAAACGATAACGAGAGACGAGACGCGCAACTGTACAGAAAACAGTTTTCGCGTGACAAATATTTTTGACATGTCGAATTAGTTTTCGATGACTAGCGACAATGGAAGACTAACGAGAGAAGCGGGTGGATGGTGTTATACATTTTAAGGTCGCATGGCACATTTTCGATTTTGTGGAATGTGTACTTACGCGTCCACGTGTACATGAGGCTGAACGACGCGTTTTCTGTGTGATAATTACGCTTAGTAACGGTTAATTGATCAAAATTAATTGAAAAACATGTTTGGCTCGCGGGGAGCAGATCGAGAGTGAAAACGAGGTTCCGGATTATCCGAGTTCGAAAATGTTTTCTGTGCATAATACGTTTTAAGTCGATTCGGGTCTGATAGTTTGGTAAAGTTTAAATATGATTTAATCCGTCCCGCTATTTTATGCGTAACGTATACCGGTATTCAGTAAATCGTTTAGAACCTAGCAAAGTATCTTACAGATTGCGTTGGGGTAACTACGTGTCACACTTTGACCATTTTTTTTTTACAAACATGATTAATTTTTTTTTTTTAACGGTACATGGTAAAACAAACCTCGTGAGTGGTGAAAAACTTGGACTCCACCAACGTGTCTCGGATTGCTCTCAATCGGCTGATGTATTTGGGCTGTAAAACGTTAAACGTGATGTTATTGTCGCGTCGAGCAGTACCCGAAAAATGTACATCGTCGCGATGTGCAACTCACGATAACGTGCGGGAAACCGGCGACGAAGTCTCGAAACGCCTCGATTACTTGATCCCTGCTCTTGGTCGTCTTGAAGTCCTTGCTCGATTTCCCGTCGCTCTTCTTGATCCCCTCGATCCGGAAGCCCAGCGTAGCCGTCGACGAAATCGTCTCCCTCCAAACCATGTATCTGCGTGGATCAAAAACCGCGCGAAACGATTAGAACCCGCGGAGAATATGCCTTCGATAACGGTACGCGGCGTAATTTATACAGGTGGGCACACCTGCAAGTCGGGAGTGGGGGCGGCGCCCGCAATACTTTTGAGCCCTATCTCAAAACCACGTCTTAGATTCTTTTGCGTTTAACGTAGCGGTACATCAGTGCCGGTGAAAACGTTTTCCTCCGACAGCTCCGATTGTTTACGATCAGTACTTTTGTAGTCAATCGTAGCTATTACATTATCGTAATCAGTTCTTGCGCGTAGGCTTAGAACATTGCGTCGCGTTCTTTCCGTTGCGAAACATCGTTTCCGAACGAACTACATTTGATTCCAGCGAAATCGGTTAAAACACTGCCTGCCCCCCCCCCTACCCACGGTACTTTTCGACTTAAAACCGAAGGGGCCCATTAACAACATTTCGCGGGTAGGGGGCGAGTGCCCTGTGTGCTCACGCGGCTACGAGTACGACCGCGGACCGCTCGCTGATCCGGACACGAAACCGGACGATCCTTGCGCACGGTTCGGGTCCGGCTGACGTGGTACGCGAGCGCCGCTGGAGTCCGCGAGCGGCAAACGTCAAACGCGTCCACGGGCTCGATAATATTGTTGTTATCGAACCGCCGCGACGAAGCGTGCTCGCGTACCTACCGTCGTGGCGGTCGCACCCGGGGGGCGGCGAGCAACGTTTTTCGGGTCGCCGCGGACCGATTTCCTGTCGCCGTCACGGCGAAACGAGAACGCCCTACGGTGGTCGTGACGCGTCGGATGCGCGCGGGAGACGATAAATCAGCGGTTCCCAACGTTTTCTAGCTTCGCGGACCACCGAAGAAATATTCCACCAATAGTTTTACGCGCGTACGTCAGTCATTACGGAAATGGTTGCAAAACAATTGTTCGCCGAGGAAAAAACTATTTATTGAACCCGGTTGCACTTGAACATTGTCCTCCGCGATAGGGTTAATGACTGGATTTGAACCGGATAGTTTTAGCCCTAACACTTAGCTTTAAGATGCCATGAGCGTTTCACATTCGATTTGTTGTAGAAAAAGCTCGTTCGCACAGATAGGTCGTCGAAAGATCAAGTTTCAAAGTGCAATGTTAGCGATTGCCGAACAGTCGTCTTGCCGAACATTTATCCGGAACGGCACTGACGGTGTGGCTTTGACAAACGAATATTGTTCACTAGCTGATATTCGAATATTAACGTTAATAATGTTAACGTTATACGGTTCACGGGCTCGTTCATACGCGCTGCTCGCGGCCCACGCGTTGTGCGACCGCTGCGATAAGTATTCGAAATTCCGAAATTTTTCGTGGACGTTTATAATGATTATTATAACAGCAAGTTAACTTAAACTTTGAGCGCGTCGATCACGGTGGTTCGTGCAAAAATCAGCAAGTCTAATATCGATATAAATCGTCCGTGATAATGAGTAGTAATAATAATAACGACAACAAAGTTCGTTGCAATACGTAATCGCATTAATTGCACACAAATATCGTCAATAATATAACGCATGTACAGCGCATAACCGGCAGTACGAGCAATCGTATTTTTTAATTTTAAATTTTTTCGTGTAATTGTTAACCGCGTATAGCGCAACAACTGATCCGTAAGACTAATCAATAATTGATTGATAATAATTATTATGATGCACGAACGGGAAGAGGTAAAAAATATCGATAACGCTATTACGCGCACACGCGTAAAACACCGACGACGACTTGAACACGTGATACGCGCGTACGCACGCGGTTACTGTTCCCCGTTGGGTCGTGAAGGAGACCATTTATTGTTATTATTTTTATAAAAATTCTTGCAAACACACACACACACTTATGCGGAGTAGTACAACGTGTTTGTAAAACGAAATAATATTTCACTGTTAAACGATGTTTCGCAATGAACCGAAGTACGCGCGAGTTGGCAGGGCCGGCGTTAAGGAGGAGGCGAAACGGGGCATTTGTCCAGGGCCTCGCGCTTAAAATGTTCATTGAAAAATATTTTGTACGGAAATCTGATAAAATAAAACGTGAAATGTGTGGATCGCCTGGCGAGTGCCATTTCTAGAGAAATCCGTTGGCGGGTAATAAAAAACCAATCAATAAAGAACAGCAATATTATATTTGACGTGTACGCACAAATGTATGCACTAACGACGACCCGTACGGTACCCCGCACAATATGGAAGCCGGGGTACATAGGAAATTTATTTCATCGTATGTTTTTTAAATTTCATTACTCGATATCGCGTGCAGCTGTCACCGAGTCCGATTACATGTCATCGTGTTTAATTTCGGCGTACGGGCTATAGGTGAGACTATATTTGTGGGTAAAATAAGTTTTGCCCAGGGCCTCGTAAAAAGGTAACGCCGGCCCTGCGAGTTGGGAACGCGGTCGAGAAAACGGTCGTGTTATCGTTGCTGATCGCCGAATGCGTTTCGTACGCATTTCACTGTGCGTACAACAAAACGTCAAAGAAATCCATGAACATTTTACGTTTCTCGTGATATGCGTCGATATCGCGATAAAAATCCATGTGTGAACGCATCACGACCGGATTCAAAAGCGTTTCGGTCGACGCGCGCGCCAAGTGCCGCACCAGACGATAAGACCTTTGCACACGCAGTTTGAGCGGACTTCTGTCGCGACGTTAACGAATCGAAAACGAAATCGCGTTGGTTATTAAGTCATATATCGTTAATTTTATTACCGCAATAACTCAAGCGCGCGCGCGCATAATTATGTTACGAGCAATTGAAACTAATAATAAATTCGAACACGTGTGTGTGTGTGTGTATAATACTTATTGCTTGTATGTTAAACGTACGAAATGCGTTTTTTTTTTCATCAAAGAAAGGCGTTAGAAATCATTCATCTCGGCGGTGCCGGTCCCGTATATAATAATAAAAATATTATTATTACTATTATTATTATTACCATTGCACACATACGTACTTAACACGTGTACAGGCGAACTCGTTCGGATACCATAAATTACAATATAATTATCGCCGCGTTACGGCCGCTGCAGCCGTCGTAAAAGTGATTTTCGATTGTCCGATGTATATCATATATTGTGTTTCGCGAGCAGCGCGCATATAATAAATCGAGTCTCGTAACGATATAGTTCGCCATGTAGGTATTAATTATATTGTTATTATTATTATTATTATTATTTACGGCTGCGCGAAAAGAACGGCTCGCGCACGTAATCCAAACAAGACGATTTTGTTTTTCATTTCAAACATGTCTTACCTAGGCTTTGTCACGCCCTTCAGCCGGTGTTCTTCTTCCGACGGCGCGTTCGGGTCGATCTGAATCATTTTCTCGTACATGTCCTAAACGGCAACGTAAACAATGGGTATGAATAATGAATTGAACGATAGTTAATAATACGAATATTATTGTTAACAATGTTATTACAATAATATTCCGCGAGTAAACCGTGTACCGCTGCAGTCACAAACCTTTCTCAACTTGGGTTTCTCTTTCGCTTTCGCCAGTTCTTCTTCCAGATACGTTCGGACGCCGATCTTGCAGTCCATCACGCACGGCGAAGTAAAGTCGCCCAACAAGTCTTCTAGTTGAAGGTATACTGTACGCGGATATTCGAGTCACGGAAATTTTACCATAGATTATCAACGTTCTATACAGCCGGTCAGTATTATAATGTTATACAACGATATTAATTAGTTATGATGTAATAATAACACCAAATAATTATTATTCGTTATTGATTTTATTATGTGTACCTACAGGTGTACATCGCGCGCGATCATTCCCAGTACGGATCGGTAGCGGCGGCGGTGGGGTGTTGAAAAAACGCATCAATAATTTTTACGATACCGAGGAAAAACCACGGTTGATTTTGAACTCAGAACATCGCCCAAAACGGCCATGCGATGCGGGACCACAGAGAAACGTTCCGTTTTTCATGACTGACGTGTTTTCGCGTACATATAATATATAATCGGTAAACGTATGTATATAATACACATAATGTCTCCTACAATCCAATTTGTGTGGAAACACCGAATCTCACGTCGTGTCATCTAAGCCTTAGGGTCCGTCGTAGTAAAGGACATAAACTGTACGTAAACGAGTAATGATGGCCTAATCGTCACTCTTAACGTCTTGTTTTTCATTCGTTTAAAAAATTTCTGGGAGTTACGGATTAGATAAAGATTGTCCCACGTGCATTGTATTGTAACATTACCGATTATGTCAATACAACAATGAACTATTAATTTTGATCAGTGAAAACAAACCATGTTCATACACATGGTCTGCTTCCTATTTTATACAATGACAAGTGCCCACGTTCTTCGGACGCGTCATATTATGCGAGGGAAATTAATCTTCGATCGTCATCGCTACTATAATTAGTGTTTTTTTTTTTTTTTTTGTTTTGAAGTAACACGCAAATCATATGTAAATATATAAATATTTTAGACAACCGAAGTTCTTGAGTTGTGGTTTAAAGTATACAAAATCGCAATAACGATGGAAAATAGCATATTTATGTAGCAATAGTAATAGTATTTCCATACTACAGTTATGTTCGAAAATCGAAAGTCGATGTTGCTTTACGCGGTACACATAGGGCTTAATGATTTTAATTAAATATATATTAATTATAAAGCCAATAGTTTCTGGGGGAATAAAAATCAAAAAAAAAAAAATCGTTAAACCGCACTACTTATGAATCTGGCTCGTTCGACTTAATAACGAGGTGTAGATATTAGTCAGGGTCGAGTAAAATTAATGCCACACTACACTTGGATTACCTTGATCGGACCTCTTTGTAGGAAGACCATGACGCATTATAAAATCGTTTCATTTTGAATAATATCCATTGATTATACAGTCTACGGTAAAAATAAAAATAATAAAATAAAATATGTACAAAATGCAAAACGAAATCGCGTGATCAATATTCCGATTACAGTCGTTCACCGTACGTAGAATTGAACGAATTAAATGAAACATAATGATAATAATAGTAATATATTACAATCGGTTTACCTAATTTCTTCGAATGTATTTATGTATAAAGAAATGAAAATAACTAGTACACTCAGTCCGACTCAACTCGTTGCCGCGCCCGAGAATCGATATGATTTACCGACGCGATAATTATAATATTGTCGTCGTACAGTTGAACTCAGTGTTAATTAGAAATCTTTGGGCGGTTAAAAATCACACGACGTTATACGGCCATGACGCCCACGTGCGCGTTGATAATTCAATTTGTATATGCATTGGGTGGGCACATATAAAATTATTTTCACACCGATCAACAGGCTTTCACAAACATGATGGATAAGAGTACGACATGATGTTTAATGATTTTAATTAAATCAAGATTACGATTTTTGGAGTAATTGACATAAATAAATGGAAGGAAAAAATACTCACTTCGATATCATCTCTAGATTGTCAATGCCCGCATGGGATTCGGTCTGATGACATACGAATGACATCAAACCTATAAAACGCATATTTAGGGGGTAGGGGATAATCTCCCTTGAGCTCATTTTTCTTTCACAAGTGTTTTTCAATAATTATATACATCTGTTGCATTTAATAACAGTTTAATATTTTTAAAAGCATGATAGGAGGAAATGTTTTATTCATTTAATGAATTTTATTCCTAATTTATCCCTAATTTTATTCATCGTGATTGAGGTTAACTAGAAATGTGTAAATTCTACATTCCTCTCAACACGCCGCTGTAAAGTGCACAAGGTTTGCACAACACTATACGGTACAATATGTTTTGACGAGAGTTTCGGTAAGTATAAATATATGATAAAATGTGAGTACGGTGAATGCGATAATGTCAAAGTTGAGTGCAGGAACGCGGAAAAAAAAATCATTCGTGATACCTGGAGCCAGAAGAATTTGTCGGAACACATTATGCGCAACAACAATACGTGTACGCGGTTTCGAGTTACGAGTTATACTCACCGCGCGTGCACTTGATATTCAAATATTTTGTAGGTATGTAAATAAATCAAAATGTACGGGACGCGGTGTGCGCGTGCGTGTTTTCTCGCATAAACCCGGGTTGTATAGGAACAAAATCGCAAAACCCGAATCAACCTTGACGACCGCGACGATCGTCGCGTGATCAAAATCATCTCTTTTGTGTACAGGATTTTGATGCGCGTTTAACCGCGAAATAATTAGCGTTAAAACATGGGCTGTGGATATATCGACGACGTCATGACGAGAATGCGCTTAATCACGGTAAGACAGGAGGAGGGGGGAGGGGGAGAATGAAAAAATAAAACAATAGTTTCGCGGACGGACTGCGCCTACAGCTGAACCGACCAACGGGTTAAAGGTCAACGTTTCACGGTGAACTTTTATGCTCGAATTTCAACGAACCGTCGCGTCCTTGTACAATACGCGAAGAAAAGTTCACCATGCACTTGTTAAATCGTAAGCTCGTGACGCGTACATCGACGACATATTTCTTTGATAACACCGCGATAAATTGACGGGAGGTTTTTCTATGGGGTGAAAAGTAAGCGTACACTACGTCCGTGTGCTTCGTGCTCACGTTTGTGTCTACGTTAGTAATTTTTTTTTTTTTTTTTTACTTTCCTAGCCCGCGAGTTTTTCTATTTACAGGTTGAGCTTTTCGCTTCCGAAAGCCGTAGGGAAAAACCCTTTTACACGTAAACAGTTGACTGTATCTGTATCTGTATCTGGCAGTAGGATCGACAGGGAAAAATAAATTTAATTTCGGACACGATTTTTCTGAACACTAAAATATGTACGAATCCGTCCACCAGCGACGTCTACTAGAACCGATGTTCGATGGCTGGAACTGTGGTAAAACAATAAGCAACGGCATGAGCACTACGGAAAAGGTCATTCCACTATAGTGACGCTTCCACTTGGCGTATTTGCAAAATAAAACATATTCTTCCCTTCATCGATCTAGCAGTCAACTGCATATATTTAGCTCCCTAGGCTTGAACCAAAAATCAAAATCTAGTGTTTAAACTCTTATACAAATATCTCCCGTACAGTTGCGCACTTATACAGCGAAACTTTCAACGCATTTAAATATAACCGTTAAAAACGAAAACGTCTAAATGTATGTTTTGTGTATCGACTGCCGAATCGCAGATTGATAATAATCGTTCAAAGTTTAGAAAGACGGTGAAAATCCAACAGGGTACACGGCTTCCACGACCCACTCCTCTCGCGTCAAAACCGTCGGCTAAACAATAATAAATAATATACAGACCGTAGCGAGAGAAATCGTCGATCAACGCGGAACAATACAGTTCTTAAAGTCCTAACCCGTTTCGTCGAAGACGTGTGTATCGTTATATAAAAAAAAAAAAAATAAATAAATTTGTATTTCAGAAAATTACTAGGCTACGAAAACGTAGACGCTTAAGGTGTTCGGCAAACGATTTTCTTTACGACGAAAAAAAAAATCACTGCAACGGTTATCTCTCGGGTTAGAGAAATGATTAATGATGATCGATGGAAAACGTCGACGGGTGTCGTCGGGCACGGCCGGGATACTCGGGAAAAACGTAGCAGCCGTCGGTGATATTTTTGAGCAAGGCGTTCGCGTACAACGCGAACAACGTACGATCATGCGATACCTGTAAACGGTTTTCGAGACGCTCGTCGGATATTTCAATACGCCATTGCTAAAAAAAAAACGTCGCACGCTCTCGTGGAATCCCGGACTTTCGCGTTAATTATGTGCGCAGCGGTGCAAGAACACACCGCGGTCGGCGTGCATTGTGATCGCACCGCGAGTAGACGCGCGTGCACGCGGAAAACCGTACGCGGACCGAAAATAATAATGTAAAACGGAGGGCGCGTCGAGTCCGTTCGACTTACGACTGGCGCCGGGACCTTGTCCCGGAGGATTTCGATTGTCGGCCGGACGGAGAAATCGTTTGTAAAACGTAGAAAACCGTTCGTCGGACGGCCGCTAAACGTCGAAACGGTTCGTTTACGGATCAGTCGCGACGGGAGGTGGGAGGGGGCCGATTTCACGTTGACGTCGAAGATCTTCGGGCGTACGCCAAGACGTTTACAGTGCAACGACTGCGCGTACGAGTACCGATAAGTTTACATCGATCGTTGCGATCCGGACATAACAGCCGTCGGCCACGCGCAAAAGTCGATCGAAAACCGACGATAATTAATTATCACAAGACTGCGCGCGTACCTTATCGTCGTACACGACGTGGGCATCGGAAGCGGTCGCGGTCACGGTCGGCGTTCGACGGGTGGCAAACGGTCAAATTTCAATGGCGTACGATTAACACATTGTTTCGCCGTCACCGCTACTGTTTTAAAACCGTTTTCGGTCCGCGCACATTATTTTAATAGGGTAGATCACGGACTTTTTTTTTTTAAATCAACTAATTCTCGTTAAATTATACGAGTGCATCATAATGTTCTTATAGCTTATGCGCGGGCTAGCGTGTAATATACGTACGCGGTGGACGCGTTCGTAGTGCTATGCAATTATTATCACAACGGCTATAACGGTAATAGTCGTATACCGAACCTATTTCGGCTGTAGGGGACGCGCGAATGCGGGTTTCGTTAATGTCATAAAGGATACGGTCTCCGTCGTCGGTGGTCAAGTGTCCTTTGTACTCGGGCACGAACGGTCTCAATATGTCCTTCATCAGCACTTGGAAGCACAACTGTTCCTTGGGACACAGTTTTTTGAGAATCGTACCGGGCTCCGGGCCGGCTTTGAAATTACCTGCGAAAACAGACGTTCATTATTATCGCGTAAAATATGTCGTTATTCGCACGTGCGTGCAGTAAGCCAGTAAGACATCGCGGTACATTCAAACACGTTTCGAACGGATTTCGACGAGTAGATCAACCCCTTCGTAGAGATGTTACTCGTTGTACACGTCGTGTCAGAAATATATATTTTCGAAGTGTATTGTGTCGTTCGGATTTGTGGCGCAATGTTATTACTTACGGATTTATTGGTTTTCAACGTGATCGGCGACATGCAGCACCGAACCGACTTGGTGGTCGACAAGCACTAGCAGTTAAAAAAATAGATCGACTAATTATGTAAAGCAGATTCGCCGCGGTTTCTGAGCGTCAAGAAGATAGCGCGGGTACGGGTGTAAGGTTGGTGTTCGATTTTGTAGCGAATCCGGTATCGCTGTCGTAGCAATACGCAGTTCGCGCCGTCGCGTTGCAATACGTGTTGTACCCGGGAAATCGAGTGTTGCCCGTCTTCACGACGTACATGATTCATAAAGGGTGGTTTTGTCCGAAAAATATTGCAAGGGGTTGAATGCGGGGAAGAGACTGTCATGTATTCGTCTCGAAAACCACTGTGGAATTTATTCAACAAATTACGACGACCCGTAGCATCGCCTGATCGGTGGTTCCGGCTGGCCGGTGCATAGTCGGTTTAAGGAAATAAAAATGGGAGGAGAAGGATACCTGTATGTTATTCCCATACGCGCGACACGAACAGCCGAACGGCACGTTTGGAAATATCACGCGGTACAATGCGTGTACGGATTTCGTTTTATTCCGTTCACGCCGAACGGCGATTTCCAAAGGAGTTCCAGTCGACAGTGCGTACATCGATGTAAGTAAATAACAGTACAAGTAATTTGAAAACAAACGGTTTGACAGTTTTACAAGATCAGAACTGATATAGACATAGTGTTGTACACGGGACGAATAGCAGTAAATCAAACGTCGAGGAGTAATAACGTTTGCGTCTCGTGTGCGGTTCGATAAAAGCATGTATGTGCATCGTTGCCGGTCGGCAATCTGTCCAGCGGACTTTTTGCACGATAAATCTCCGTGCCCGGAGAGTTTTAACACTTCTGGATGTATGGGTATTGCGCGCGTTTTCGCACAAATCATGCTCGGTACACGGGAACGTACGAGTACGCGACTTCCGGCCGTCCGCCGTTAACGAGAGCTATTGAGCTATTAGCCTTTTTTTTTTTATTTTATTATTATTATTATTATTATATTCGTGTACACGCGCGTACGATTTACGATCGAATTCGAGTCGGCGTCGACTGCGATACGTGTATACGTGGCTTATAACAAGTTCATCACGGGCTAGCATGGCGCAAGACGAGCGCCCGCGTTACGCGTCGGACCGATAGAACATATCGACACGGTATTATTGTTACGAGTATCGCATATTAACGTCGCGTCCCGATGGAAATAACCGGAACAAATGCATCGCGTCATGCGTCAACAATTTACGTGCAATGTGCGTACGCGTGTCCTGCCGAGGATCGGATAAAACTGTTACGGGTTGTTCGTACGACTGCGATATCAGTGTGTACGGCGCGAACGAGGTCGGTTCCGATATACGTTTTCGATCGAACGCACCGAAACTCCATCCCCCATCACCGGTTGCGGGAGGACCTTACGTGACGCGTGAGTTGTGCGCAACCGTTCAAAGTCGCAGTTCTACGACGAACGCGCGTTGACAACGAGTGGTGCGTACGGAATTTTATAATCCGATTTCATACACGGTCTCAGTACACCTAAACCGTGTCGGAATCTATCCTTTTTCTTCGTGCAGGTACATCCGACGCATACCACATCGGTGGTCCTCCTATACTATATCCCGCGAGAGCACAGCCCATTTCGCGCATGCGTACTGAACGTGGTCGGTCGTCTCTACGTGCGTCCTCGACTAATGTGGACGGAAGGACCAGTGGGAAAGGTTGGAATGCGTGGTGGCAACCAGTTTTGGTCGACCGGTGCCCGTTCTCTCGCGGTAAATAGGTACTATAGGTGCGAACTTTCGTATTGCGTAACAGAATATTTCTTTGCGTAACTTCAGAGCAATGCGGTTCAAGTCCATAGAAAGGATGGCCAAGATGCACGCGGGTATGGATGAACTTTTATAACGGTTTTATACGCCGGGTTCGATGTGCGCATCCATGGTTAACGGACCATTTAGCCGACCGTGTATATAATGCGATGATTCTCAATTTTATTTTTGTTTCACGCCCCCTCAAAGATTCCCGGACACCTCACGTTTCAATGCGATTTGTAAAACCATAATTTCGCCGATGGATTTGACATTATCGTGCACATAATCTGTAATTATGATCATCCGTAATCGCATGATCTATGACTGTACATAATCTGCAGAACCTTTAAATCCACCGTAACGTTCGAATGCACTCCTGTTGGAATCTTTCGTGCGCGCGGTCGAAGTCATGGCCGACACGCCATTGGCGTTATGTGCGCAACAGGTAACATATTACGTTCGTCGGTCGTATAAAACCGAAAACGGCGTTGCGCGGGTTAGAAGGAAGATCGCCGGATGTGTACGCGCGCGCTGCAAGACGACGGTTCGAGTAGTTTTATTTGGTTAGAGTTTCGCAAAAACGTAACGAAAAAAATCCAGGACAGATCATCGCGCGCGATCCGTGTACACGTACGTATGTACGTATTAATATTTATAACGACCCCTTCGGCAGCGGAATGCCGACGGTGACGGGGAACGAGTACAACGAAACGGTTTTCATCGGACAGTCGAACAGCACAGCCGTTTTGATTGGTGTACGAAGTACATTTGAACACTATTATACTAACGAAATGTATTAAATCTTAACTCTAAAATATGATTTTCTCAAACGATAATTGTACGTTATTTCCGTGTTCGTATAATACAAACGATAAGAGCGTTATGGATTTGACGAAAGATTCGTTCGGATTCGCGTTCGAACCGGGAAAACGCAACGAACGGTAGACCGTTTCGATCCGATGAAATTCAACGTTCGTAATGTGCTACGCATTTCGAACGATCCCGATTATAGTAGTTTTGTTCGTTTGCAATACGCGTCGTCGTCGGTGCACATCACTCGCGCACATCGGTGTACGGGAAAATCGTCGTACGAAAACGGAAAAAAAAAAAAAAAATAATAATTTCTCTCGCGCGCTTCGGAACGGCGAGAACTGCAGGCGAGTGCGTATAGCCGCGTGTCCAGCGGTACAAGTCCGACAACAATAATGATATATAGTCGAATCGGTGCGTTTCAACTGTGCAAACCGATTAACGGCCCGGAGCGCGTTACGAAACTGGTTTATCTCGACCACTGCTCTACGTGCGCTACAAACGTATGATCACACGTAATGCAATGGGTATAGCGCAGGTTCGTACACCGTCCACGACTGCTGCTGTATCACTGCGCTTCGGTTCACAACATTTGTTTTAATTAACGGGTGGCGAACGGAGAGTACGAAACGCGTACGGACGCGCGAGGTCCATCTCGTACGTCCGATGATCCTGCGCGGTGCGCGGACGAACCGCGTTACGGCGTCCGCGGCGGAGGCGTGTGCTGAAAGCCGCACCGAACGAACACGAGCGGCGGCCGTAGGCGCGATTAGGGATCTTAGCATCCCTGAGTTGCAGTGCAGCACTCTTGATTTATTCAAGTCCATATCAGCCACAGTGATTACGGTGCGATGCCGTTCAATTTCATTCCTAGCGATTCCAGCACCCCCGATATTTGGGTTCGAGCTGTGCCCATGGCGGTGGCCGGAAGATGCGTTTTCCGGATTTCTCTCCGCCGACTGTTCGAGATCTCGTACACCGTGCTAACCGTAGGACGCGCCCAATCCTTTCCGAATCTGTTCGTCGGTCGGCTACCGGTCTACCGACTCGCCCGAACGTTCGTCGCGAACACGCGCAGCACCCTTCGATCCTCCGCGCCGTACCGCAGTGCTTGCCGTTTTACGCTGGAATACCGCGACCGGTGCTGTGGTGACGTGTACACTTACCGAAAGATATCGTCCGCCCACGCATCGCCCCACATTTTCAAACGGCCCCTGGGTGTGCGCGCGCCGTCGCTGCCGGAGAAAGACGCGCGGTCCGACCGTTAACGTTCACGTTGGATCAGCGATTCCCAATATGCGTTCCGCGGAACCTAAGGGTTCTGCGGGACAATATTAATGGTTCTGCAAGACATGAATGTTGAGAACGGTGATTGTAGCGAACAATAATCGTGGACTATCTATAAAACAATTTTTCTAGTAGTATCGGGTTTTCGACGAATAATTGAAATATTGCGGTTGAGTTGGAGTGCTAGATCGTCAACAACCGTCTCTCACCACCATCACCACCACCAAGCGTTCAACGACGAAAGCACCATCAAAATCATCCGACACATCGTAACCCCTAAGCCGTGAACTATAAACCATTCATATTGAATGTAACGTCGTCCAATTTTCAAGACATAATTTATACTGTTCCTGGGCTAAAAATCCAAGCCTTTACCGTTTGGTGGGGGAAAAAAAAATAATACATATAACGACGTGTATTATTACCGCAGCCGGTTCTTCGGAAAGCATAAAACACATACGTCCGAGGCGCAGTCGTCGATCCGTGACAAATTGGCGATGACGAATAGAACACGCGCGCGCGTATACCTGTTCGACGAGCGTCCGTCTGCGGCAATACGGTTACCGTCCGGGGAGGGGAGTGATTCGCGGATGTCGTCATCGGACATTTTCATTGAAAAAACGTGTTTTTTTTTTTTTTTTTAATTTTTTAACAAACGTTCTCCGTTCGGTGTGGATATTATTGACCGTCCGGTTGAAATTGAAACACCAATACGTTCGGTGTTGGGAATTCGGATCAAAAAAAAAAAAAAAAAAAAACGGGCGAACACGCTGCGATACGTACAACACAATCAACGCGGCGTTATTGTACTGAATAAATACAACGGAGTGTCGCCCGCCGGCGGTGTGCTTTCACGTAATAAATCGATTTGACGTTGAACATTTACGCGTTTCTTCTGTACACCTATGATGTACATGTTATACGAGTGCACGACAGTGAATGCTATTAGCATACGCACAGTATAACGTACACTTATGGCTGTCAGCCCGGGCGAGGAGCGGAGGAGCGCGTAGGCAATGCGAATACGAAATATAACGTGTGACACGGCGTATCGTTATTTTTTAACGCCGATGCGCGTAAAAACCGAACAGAGTGCTTCGCGGTGCAGACGTTAATGTGTATGTAAATATCGTAGCGTTATCGATGACATAGTCCTACGGCGCATTACGGTGAACTGGTAAGTGAACACGACGGACGAACAATGGAAATGTGAAATGTAATGCATATTAATATCGCGTTGTTCAGACATTTTTCGATCCGACGTTCGGTACAAATTTCTTAAACTATATATGATTCGTGTAAAAAATCGAAACACGATGTCTTTGTAACGCGTTTCAATATTGTTTCAACGTGAACATAGGCACCGTGTAAAACACTTAAACGCATAACAGTTGCAATAGGTACGTACAAATGCATTGTTGTACGAACGATACATAACATAATATAATATAATATATTATACGTGCATAATAATGATAAATAATAAAACGTTAACTCCAGACATACGTACAGAATGTTTCATGGGGACATTTAACATTTCAATGTCTAATGTATACGTTCAGAGACGGACTGGGTATAGAGGGACCCGAGGAGTGGTGGGGTCAAATAGACCTATTATTATTACATTTTGATTAATAAATATTTTTAATTAATTGTGCTCCAGTTCGGATACTCAAATAGTGAATAATTGGTGTTTTACCATTATATTTTAATATTACATTTTGTATATCGGTAATTAATATAGAGTGCCCGGGAGGCGATAGCTCCTTTACCTCCCTGGTCAGTCCGCTCCTGTACACGTTGGAATGGAAACATCAAAATTATAATTCTTGGGTCAATGAAACGAATGAATATATCAAACAAATATTAAATTTCTTAACGAAATACTGTATAAGAAATACCAACTGCAATTAGTATATACTATTTAGGGACACCCTGTATGTCTATACATCAATAATAATATTCAATGTTTATTGTAATTCTCGGGCGTGATATGTAAATGTCGCATAGGCACATCGAATTAACAACGACATGCGAAGAAATATCAACAACAGTATTTGTTGCGTTTTTTAATTTGTGTCGATTTTTTTTTATCAATATTTGTTCGAATACTTATGACGCATCTCGGCGGTATACTTAGTAATGGTACTTTTCATGTGTGTTTCGAAACACTTGACGAATTTAACTCGTGTGCTACAACGTCAAAGATAATACTTCGACCTTGAATTAAGTTTTTTTTTTATTATTATTATTATGTTATTTTTAGGAGGTTAAATGTATTAATATTTATACAACGATAACTGCACATGTGAACTGAATAATTGAATTATAAATTAAATAATTATAATCTGACAAAGATATGCCACCTTCGATTTTATCGAAAACGAAATTAAGTACTGTGAAAAAAGTTCATATTTTTTTTAATCATTTCCGCGCGTATCGTCTGCCATTAGATTAAAACGAAGAAAAAGCAAAACCGTATAATTTTATAGTTACAAACGATCGTAATATGGTTAATTAAAAAATAAATAACAGTTAAATGATTTTTTTTTTTTTTCGAATCGACTAAGAACTTGTTTTTTCACACTAATCGTAACATAAATAATTCAGAACACCACATAAGGTTTTATTTTACCTTTAAAATGATAATTATTTCCCCGAGCGATTCCCATTAAGAAAAGCTTTATTAACCAACGATTTTACTCGAAACGATAATAATACAATACAGGATGTCAAATAATTTTCTTTGGAATTACACGTTTAATTGTCTGAGTGCACGTAATTAAAATTTACAGGTAAACCATTTTACGAGCACATACATTTATATATCATACCATATATATATATATATATATATATATATATATACAAGCATAACGACGTAGGGTTTTTTATAACACAAAACCGCGATTAAAATTAAAAACCAACGAACCCCATTGATTTTCATCGCAGACAGTTTGATAAATATTCAATATTATTGAACCGGGTATTCGGTAGTATTGTAAACAGATGGTACGATAAAATATCGAATGAGAAACACTAAAAAGGTTCATTTACAATAAAAATACGAACATATAATTTAGGATTGTCGACAACGACAACGATGATGTTCGTGACTCATACCTATATAGGATTAATCGATCAATCGCAATGATTGCAGTTAATTTATCCATCGCTATTACATGGGCTCGTTTGTGTCTGTTCGATCGTGCGTGGATTTTAAAATTTACGACCACATGAGATTAAGAAATTTATAATCATAATAATAATTCGCTAACATGAAGTGACCGCTGTTGTTTGTTAAATGCATCGTTTGTTAAATGTCAATCTGTGAGAGTGTACCGCGACAACATTACGAGCAGACGCGTGCACAAAAACGGAAAAAACTATATTTTTTATTCGAGACGTTATCTCGTTGATAATATAACATTAAGTTCGAGAATGACCTGCGTTAAAATGTGTTATTTAAATACTTGTTATGCGTAGTAATACAACTACGAACAGAAAACAATTATATCGAAAACAGCTAAAAATAATAGTAGAAAGACAATTGAACATGTTTACCACCGTGAGAAACAAAAATAAAATATTGAATTTCCTAAATCTGAGACGCACTGAAAAATATTGTCTGATATGGTGTTACGTTCAGAAGGGAATAAGAAATATCACTAGTGCCCCTTGCCAAACATAGAAGAAAATGATTTTTAAACCATTTAAAAATTTGATGTGATCATATTTTTTTTTAACATTTAATTTTTTTTATTTATTTTTTTTTAAGAACACAATTTATATTCAGTTATTATTACAGTGTAAATTTTAAATTTCGATAATTTGCTGGTCTCGATTTAAGGCTAGCGTATTCATCGATCATTTCCTATTCGAATTGCTCCCTCGTGCTATTTTCATAATTTCGTTATTAAATTCACACTTATTATGTACAATTAGACAAAATCTACATTTAGTATGAAAAGATTTCGTTTTGAAGGGTAAAATAAAAATACGAATTTAACACGATTTCGCGTCCTTTTAAAATTCGCCCCAGGCGTAGGCACCGTTTGCCTTACACTGGCTACGTCGCTGGTTATACTGTGGCGCATCGACACGACGAAGAACGTATTTTCATGACTTCTGTGTTTAAACTCAACACGTTCTCGTAGTATGTATGCGGTAGTATTAATGTTTCGACGTTAAACACGATTTTGGAAACATCGCGTTAGAAAATTACGAATGGCGAAATACACTGTGCAGTGCGAACGAAAACGATTGGAAATCTTACGGACGCGCATATACCCATGCGTATACTATAACGTAACGTTACCGACGAACGTACCTTGGTGTCCGGCTAGCTGCACCCACGGATACCTCTGCTTTTTGTAGGTCTGAAAAAACGGCGTCCACTGAACAATGTTCCTGAGTTTGCGCCATCCGGAATGCTGGAAAACAAAATACGAATGTTGGGATCAGTAAAAACGCAAATGGTCGAATTTCTGCACTCCGCTGCTACGGACGCATCGCGTCGGTCCGGAGCACGGGGGGGCACGTACGCATGCATTAAAACATTACGTTTGCGCGCGTAGATTGTTTGTGCACGAGCCACGTTACTCCGTGAGAACAGTACCAGTACGTGTCGTCTGGATCGGGCTTAAGAGAGGATAATGTTCGGCCGTCATGACGGTTAGGTTAGGTACCTACATTGTACACGAACGACGAGGGGCAGGTCGCGTCCGCATAGGAACACGAGGATCAGCAGGGATCGCGTTCTGGCAGACCAGTGTTGCGACGGGGGGGGGGGGATGTATCGACCCGTGTTTAGACCAATCCAGGCACGTAGCTAGAATGTTCGTACTAGGGAGGCCAAAATCCTTGCATCGTTTTGAATAATATGTTTCCTATGAGAAACTTGCAGAGGCGCTGTTGTAAAACATTTGTTTTCATTAAATAGTACGGCTAATACGAATAGACCCTGTATTTAACTTCAAGATAACGTTTTCTACGAACATAACATTTAATATAACAATAATATAACATCAAGAGTGTGTAAGTTGAATAATAATCACAATAAATTCTATTATCGAATAGTTATCATAGAATATTTTTGATACTCAGTAAAAATAATTTGTATACGAATTTGGAGGAAGGGATGGTCCTGGATTAAAATACATTTTCGGGGGTCCGATCCCCCTTGGCTACGTGCCTGGATCGGTCGAACGTCACGCCGAGTTCTAAAATTTTACCATCATCATGTTCATACTTGAAAACTTTACTTCTGCCGTGCAACGCTTGTCACTGTTTGTTTATCGTTTTACACGTCACAATAACATAATATGCGATACGGACGAGCATTGATTATAACATTACTGACGATTTGTCGGAAGAATGGTACACGCACTATTCAACACGCTATATCATCGATTGTAATAACAATGTCAAAACGCTTATCGTACTTGGTGTTACCGATTATTGTTTAAAAAAATTTAACCATATCATGGTTATGATGTACCAGGCTTTGTGTATTTATTGTCGAACGATAAAACAGCGCTCAATCGTTTGTTTTTATAAAAAAAAAAAATAATAATAATAATAATAATAAAAAAAAATGCTTATAAATAAATTATACAGTTAATAAATTATGCAATAAATAAATTAATAATTCAAATGTTTGTTGAGACGCTCCACGTGATATTATTTTCTACGTAGCGCGTATTGTTACTCGATCACGATGAATTCGATTACAAAGAATAACGATTCGGCGGTTAAAATTAATAATTGAACACGCCATAATTATGTTGCAGTTGTACTCATATTAATCACTGAAAAGACGCGATCATGACATTATAATTTTACTATACGTATAGAGTTTAAATTTCTTTTCTTAAATTATAATGAAGTCGAAACAAACAGATGGACAATAAATAAATAAGTCTATAGACAACGATGTTAATGGACTAACGTTGCGGGTCGAAGATATCGGCCGTACAAATGGAATCAAATTATAATTCGATTTCTCATCGTGCCTATTCGATTAATTACATGGCAATGAAAATCGAAAGACGAAAAATTACCGGACGAGCGTAGCGATGGTAGGTAATTAAACTTCGCGGTGAATTGGTTTCGAAATCAAAGTATAAATTAATTTTCGACGAATTAAATATTTGCTACGGAACTATCTGTTGTACAAATAATACTAATAATATTGTACTCGTATCACTACGAACATGTTTACCGTATACGCTACATCGTCGTACGTATCAGAGTTCTGCATGGGCCGATTTTTTCAAGCACATCCCGGTCTATATCTGATACGAAAAACCCGGCCCATTAGAGCCCTCAACTGTTTTGATTTATGAAACCCAAGCCCTCCTACAGTTAAAATTATACAATGAAGCCCGCCCAGCCCTGATAACTGGATAGTTGGCAACCCTGGTCATAGAATAATTATTTGTACATTTGTAAATGTTATTTATTATACTTATATAATATTGTATTCGTTAGATGTTCGATAGTCAAACGACAAATGAGTAATAACGTTAATAAACAAATTTTATTATTGTAGTAATATTTTAATGTAAAATTGTTATTATTTAGGGCTATATATATATAGCCCTCTCCCAAAAGTGCCTACGACATCCAATTCTCGAAACGCAAACGTCCGAGAACAATTGATTCGTTCATCAGGACGATATTGAAAAACAACGACGGAATGCCAAAGAATTACAGCCAACGTGACTTCTAAACCGTCGTATTTCAAACCGCATAAAACCCGTAGAATTTAAAAATATTCTCGCAGTAGAAAATCCATAAAAATTATATCGCTGTATGAAAATCGAAAGATCGGTAACGGTCAGTGGCGTAGCCAGGATTTTTAAATGGGGGGGGGGG